GATGAAGTTTTCTCGTCATGCTCGAGGGCACCAATCTCCGAGAGACAGGACAGAATATACCGGACAGGAATGTTGGTCGTGTACGGCGAAGACAAGTAGAAGGTCCGACCATCGACCACCATTCTCCCCTTCGGATAATTCTCTCTTTCGCCCTTACTCCCCTTATTCCCCTGTCCGTCGATTTTTCTCCATCTTTGCAATTTCTTCTCCGCCTTTCTACAGCTTTACGGCCTCAAAAACGAAAGGAGCGATCGGCCAATTCTTCGAGTCTGCGAGACGAAAAAATATTCGAGAAAGAAAGGGAGACCTTGCTACGGGTTGCTACAAATACGCGTTAAAGTATCTCCGAAAAAAAATATCCGTAAATTATTCAATGAAAAAATCCACGACGAGTCTTTCGATATATGTTTATAAACGATTAAAACTAAACATGTCATTGTGATATTCAACAGATATTTTAGATGTCTTCATTTGGAATCTACGAGACATGTTAAGAAAATCTCTCGCTTGTGATATTTAGCAAAGATTACGATATCCGAAATATTTGTTGAAAATCTCAATGATACATTTAGTTTTAATAATTTAGAAAGATGTATCGAAATTATATGTTTCACCGGATAAACATATAAGAATATATTTTTTTACTTTAAGATTATTACCGGACACTTCTTTTAGTATCGAAAAACACGAGGAATTTTTGCAGTATTTTCATTATCACAGCACAAAGTGTGATTTTGATTTTAAAGATTGTCAAAGCGTTTGTAATGTATTCGGCAGACGATATTTAAAAAATACTTACATTAAAATGTAACGAAATGTATTGTATATCTATAAGAAAAATATGACGAATACACGCGGAGCTAATAGTATGCAAATGTTCTAAAAATAATATCTTATAGTATATATTGTGCAAGGTTTCCAAATATTTATAAAATTTACGATATTCGTTAAATATATAGGAAGTATGAGAGAAATATTTTGTGATACCAGGGATGCTTCAGAACATTCGGAACATTCGAGGAACAATCGAACCGCGGCTAAGTGACGTGGGAACATTCGCAAGGTATTTTATGCGTCACCGGAGGAATCTCTCCCGGATTTACTAGACGGAAAAAATAAATGTCAGCGAGCCGTATCGAACGACCTCGGGCGCGGATCCGTGCATCCGGGGGTCCTGCTCGTGGGGATTGATTTTTCCGGGGGCCCCCTTCGACCTCGGGCTCGTGGTCGATCTCCTGGTCCGCACCTAGAAGGTCCCTGACCAGGCTGGCCAGGACCTCTCCCTAGAAGGCCGGCCGTAAATCTTCCTGTCGCGGGCGCAGCCTCCTACGGGGGGAAGCGATCCCGAGAAAGAGTGGAGAGCAACTGGCAAAAATCCTAGAATGAGTAATAGGAAGGAAAAAGAATGGCAAAGTGGGCACGAGGGAGGAGCGAGCACCGTGACGGCTGGGTGGAGGGCAGTAGCCCGACAGTGGACGTCCTTGCTACGTTATCCGAGCAACGCCGCCGCGCCGGTCCCGGACCGTTCCTTTCACTTTTAGCTCTCTTTTAGACTCCATGGACCTCGGGAACAAAGATACACTCCCGTCCGAGAGACCCAAGAACGACTTCTGTACCGAAGTGCAGCGAACCCTGGCCATGCCTCTGAGCCGTAGCCCGGAAACGCTCGTTGCTCCTGCGCGGTGCTGGCGAAAATTCCTGCTGTTGAACCTTGGACAATTTTTTTTTTTTTTTAGAAATGTAGCAGACCCGTCGCGATGAAACCTAATATATGGATAGAGAAAAGTGGGGTCCGAAGTGAGGAATTTTGAGAGGGTTAATATTCACGAATTGAAACGCTCGTTGCTCCTGCGCGGTGCTGGCGAAAATTCCTGCTGTTGAACCTTGGACAATTTTTTTTTTTTTTTAGAAATGTAGCAGACCCGTCGCGATGAAACCTAATATATGGATAGAGAAAAGTGGGGTCCGAAGTGAGGAATTTTGAGAGGGTTAATATTCACGAATTAGCTTGGACAATTATCTTCTTCATACCACTCGGAAACGCTCGCCACTCCTGTGCGGTGCTGGTAAAAATTCTTGCTGTTCAACCTTGAACAATTTTTTTTAGACATGTAGCGGACCGGTGGCGATGAAACTTAACATATGGATAGAGAAATGTGGGGTTTGAAGTGAGGAATTTTGAGAGAGTTAATATTCACGAATTAGCTTGGACAACTATCTTCTCCATACCACTCGGAAACGTTCGCCCCTCCTGCGCGGTGCTGTAGAAAATTCTTGTTGTTGAACCTTGAACAATTTTTTATTTAGAAATCTAGCAGGCCGGTCACAATGAAACTTAACATATAGCTAGAGAAATGTGGGATTTGGGGTGAGGAATTTTGAGAAAGTTAATATTCACGAATTAGCTTGGACAACTATCTTCTTCATAGCACTCGGACACGTTCGCCACTCCTGCGCGGTTCTGGCGAAAATTCTTGCTGTTGAACCTTGGACAATTTTTTTTTTAGAAATGTAGCCGGCCGATCGCGATGAAACCTAACATATGAATAGAGAAATATGGGATCCGAAGTGGGGAATTTTTACAGGGTTAATATTCACGAATTAGCTTGGACAACTATCTTCTTCATACCACTCGGAAACGCTCGCCACTCCTGCGCGGTGCTGGCGAAAATTCTTGCTGTTGAACCTTGAACAATTTTTTATTTAGAAATCTAGCAGGCCGGTCACGATGAAACAACATATAGCTAGAGGAATGTGGGAGCTGAGTTAGGGAATTTTTTTGATGGTTATTTTTCACGGATTAATGCCCTAAAGGTTGTATATCCTTCACGGACTAGCGCGGGCAACGATAATTTTAGCTACCGTTCTTTGAAAAATTCCTTCTTCCGAACTAAACAGTGAAATTTAATACGTAGGTGGAGGAATATGGAATCTCAATTAGGAAATTTTTCAGAAGGTCGATTTTTACAGGTTCTCGGCTTCCTTGCCACGGCCAGGAAACAGCGTCAGCGCGGGATACCAACAGAAATGCTTATTTGTAGTGACTTGAAGAATTAAATTCGGAGCTTCAAGTGAATACAAATTCGGAATTATTGCGAAACTTAGTGTTCTAATGGCGGCCAGACATAACATGCAAATGAAGAAATCCTAGATCTAGTTTCTAGAATCTTTCTGAGGGTCAATTGTCATGGACTTGCCTTCTTCGAGCGATATGGAGTATAAAGTCAGTAGAATTCGATATCGTGACAAACTGAAATGAAGAAAACTAAATGTTTATTACCGAAAATCATACTTTACGTTATTAAGGTGATAGAATGACTCTTTCATGTCCCCTTAATCCCCTCCCTTATATCTAATACCGAATTATATCTGCCCCGAGTAATTTGTAAGATACGGCAATCCGTCAACAAATTAGGCAAAGGGTTAATAGATTTATGAGATAAAAAATCTTCAATTTGTTAGGAAAATTATATGTATTAGAAAGTAAAGTAAATATGTAAAGGAATAATGCATGATGCATGAACGGAAAATTGCTAATACAGCCTTCAAGCGCGAAAATAGACGAATCTAGTCGGATTCTTGAGTAGAAAGTCGAAATTGCTCTCGTGGCTGACCACGGTTTTACGAGGTCCGGCACAATGATCGCTGTCCTGTCAACAATGTGGCGGTAGAATTGTTGACGTGACAGTGAAACGTGCCGTCGAATGCCCAGACCAGAAGTGGATACGGTATAGTAAGTCGTGCTTACCTACGTAAGCACGTACAATGGAGGACAGGAATGCCTCCCCTGCAGATACGGCATCGCCTGTGCAGGATGGGAGGGCATTGATGTCTCCCAGTGTACAATGGCGGACATAAATGCCTCCCCTGCAGATACGGCATCGCCTGTGCAGGATGGGAGGGCATTGATGTCTCCCAGTGTACGTAATTGCCGCTTTCCACTCAGCTGGCCCGACTTACTTATTCCCGCGTGTGCACGAAACTTCTTGGATAAGCGATTTCTTCTGTAACATGTCTATATATATTTATTTATTTATATATTTATATTGCAGAATTCCGAACGTTAAACTTCACTCCAGCATAATTTCCTAGATCAGTCGCAGCTAATAGTCGTAATTCCAGCTTTCCTCGAATAGGATGTGTAATAGTAATTCATGAAATTAACGCTAAGGGCTGGTTGCACCAACAACCTCAAATAGTGTTGCTAATTTAGACTTATTAATTCATTATTAACATTTAATCACAGGTTCACTTAATCTCTGCTGTACTGACAGATATTTAATAAAGGTTAACTAATATTAGATAACGGGTGGAAGTTATACATCTGGATTATCTATTGCTTTCTAGTTGGTACAAAACGATTAATGTTTTTATAGATAGACTGCTTGTAATCTCACCTCATTAACATATTGTTAATTACTCACGGAAAAAATGTATTGAATAGAATAGAAGTTAGAAGTGTGGACATTTTTTTGTTAGATGTATCAGAGCTTGTGATTTATTCGATGCAGACATTTTTAACAAGCTTCTTTTCCATGTTTGATATGTAGCATATGTATAATATATGTACGCACTAATTATTAAAATTTACATTTAGGTGTTACGAGTAAAGGGTAACGCGTTACATATTTCAAGTTTATTTAGAATAGACCGAATTTGTTAATCGCCTTTAATAACCTACTTGATATCTCATGATGTCATTTTCCTCGTGTCCTACAAACGATGTTTGCAACATCGTCTCACATCAGTTTCGACACTGTTTTAATCTCGATTACAGCATTAATCGAAGGATCTTGACAGATTAGTTAACAACGATTTCTCAATACTCGGTTAGTTGTAATCAGGGTTGGTGCAACTGAAAATCTCTTACTTCGTAATTAGTCAATTACAGTTAACTAACGTAGTACACTGATCATGGTTGGCGCAAACGGCCCTAAAGCTTGTAGCAATATTTTAAGCCTCCAGGAGGACTTACGGCTTAATAATTAATAATTTCCCAGGAAGATGTCGAAGAGCCAGCAACAAAATGGCGTCGGGCCTGGAAACGGCGGAGGCGTGGGCGGCCCTGACGACTTCTCGGACGACGAAAGCACACCTTTGACCCAGGATTATGGCGGCAGGTAGTTATCCTGGAAAGTCAATTATCGTTAATCGTAAAACCTTATTTTAGTGACGATAATTCAGGAGTCGTAAATAATCCGTGCTTTAATAGCCAGCGAACGGTCCTGGAAACGAAAGGATGGGACGTCTTCAGGGACCCTCCCCAGAAGATCGACTCGGGGTCGATGGCGAACCAGAAGTGCCTCGAGGCCACCGTCCAAATCACCAAGGTCCTCGTCTACTTCTTCGTCTTCATCATAGTCCTGGGCAGCGGCGTCATAGCTAAGGGGACCGTATTATTCATGACTTCCCAGCTCAAGGCCGGAAGGACCATGGTTTATTGTAATCGACAGTTAGGTGAGAAATAATTAATCTCCGTTTTAAACTACTCGAAGAGACACTTTTTAACTCCTTTTCTCGAGATATCAAATTAACCATGGTTTCCTGTAATCGACAATTACGTGAGAAATAATTAATCTACGTTTGAGAGTACTCGAGGAGACACTCTTGTGATATCCAATTAACCATGGTTTACTGTAATCGACAGTTACGTGAGAAATAATTAATCTCCGTTTTAGAGTACACGAGGAGACACTTTTTAACTCGTTTTCTTGAGATATCCAATTAAGCTACATAGTTTTAGTTTGTAATATTGCCGTAAGCAGCATAAACCAGACCGAAGGACGTTGATATAAATACTACATCGAAAAAAATTGGTAAATATTTAAAAATACATGAGGAGATATTACAAAAATATAGAAAATTAGAGTGCATAAGATGACGTTTATTAATTACTTTTGTGTAGCTGTTTACGTTTCTGAAAATTATATGTCGCTTTAGCGAAATGTCAATTGAAAGGGTTTCATGATACCTTGGAAATATTATCCGGATAAAATTACGCTCAGAATTAGGCGCAGTATATTATTTTCTATATTTCTTCTTACCTTTATGGGAAGATATTTTCGAAACTGCCTACTTTTAGTTCGGTACTTACTTAGATGAGAAAAAGGAGGAGTAGTTCAAGATCCATGCTTCAGGGTGGTCGGGGGTCACTTCATAACTTATATTATTCCAAGAATACCCAAGCGCTTATAAGGCTTCACCCTCATATATGTATACGGTGCGAAACTCTACCGAATGTTTTTGTATTAAAACGGCATAAACTCCACTCTATTAAAAGGAATTTCCAAATATTGAATTACGGGTGAAAAGATAACGAACTAAAGATGAAAAACGTATAATGTACAGAAAGGTACATATTCATAATTTTTGTACACGCAGAAAAAGATTTTAGTTCAAGGTCCAAAATCGTTTGATTGACTGCATTCAGTTCTTTTCCGAAAATGTTTCGGTTGAGTGAACCGAATTTTAATTCACTCGACCAAATTCGTTTGTCCCCGCTAAAGTGTTTTGGTTAAATCGTTTCGTTGATTTCAGATAATATTTCAGTGAGTAAGCCGAATTAAATTAAATTAAATTAATTGTTTAAATGTAGCAATTTACTTTAATACTTGGGGGTGATCTTCCATAACATTTTGTGTAATCAATGAAAAGTTATTAACCAACGGATTCTCTTGTGTCCACCAAATATTCGGTTGTCCAGATGATAATCATGTTCTATGGTTGTACTAACATAAATTGTATCGATTTAATCAAACACACCATTATGTTGATTTCGTCAACATGTGCGTTCAAGGTATTCCTCGACATTTTGGAAAGCTTTCCACTGCGCAGAGGATTTCTCGTATTTTTACGTAATTTTATATGAATATCTTTTGTAATCCGTCTGTTTTTAGGTCGCGATAAGCAATTCGTCGTGCAGTTACCCGAAGAGGAGAGGATAGCCTGGATCTGGTGCATCGTTATCGCTTTTGCAGTCCCCGAATTTGGGACGCTGGTGCGCAGCATTCGCATTTGCATATTCAAATCCTGGAAAAAGCCACCTTCCAGTCATTTTCTACTTGTCTTCTTGATGGAGACTTTGCACGTCGTTGGCCTAGCCTTGATGTTCTTCGCGGTACTTCCGGAGCTGGACGTTGTCAAGGGAGCCATGCTCACGAATTGCGTGTGCTTCATTCCCGGAGTCCTCGGTACATAAATTAAAGATAATCAATGAAAATCATGCGAACCCTAAAAACTGAAAGCAATAATTCCAATTATAGAGAGAATAGCTGATAAATTCGCATCGATTAATTAAATTTGGGAAAAAGAGAGCATCGAAGTCTCCTTGCAAAGAGGAAGAACAAGGACGGGTCGTCCTTTGCCTTTTTTCCTCCCCAATTTCAACAGTTATATATATTTATTTTATTTAATTATGCGAATTTCTGTTTGAACGAACAAGAAAAACAATTGCAGAAAGAGTTACTGATAAATTCGTGTTGATTAATTGAATTGAAAAAGAAAAAGATTCACAGATTTTCTCTTGACGGGCAAGACCAAGGACGAATCGTTCTGGTTTCTCTCCTTCCCCAGTTTCGCCTTGTGCTTTATTTTTTTTATTCTTTTGTTATCCGAATATAGGTTTGGATTGGAATATAAATCGTTTCATTTTGCAGGTCTTCTTTCGAGGAATAAAAACAAGGACGAGTCGAGGAGGTTCGTCCTTGTACTAGTCGACCTGGCTGCGCTGGCCGCCCAGGCAACAGGATTCTTCGTTTGGCCTCTTCTCGACAGCTCCAGATCGTCCTTATGGCTGATCCCACCGGCTCTAATATTTGTTTCCTGTGGCTGGTGGGAAAATTACGTCTCCATGCAGAGTTCCGTCGGTAATGCCCAGCTCTTCAGCTACTGTACAAACCGGAAGCTATTTGTTTCCCTCTCAATACGTTTTTTTGCTCTCGTGATTATTTCAACATTTTCCAATACACGTGAACGAAGAATATACAATACTTATTACTTCAAAACATCGGTGCGTGGCCTTCCCTCGCGTTCGAACTGAAACCTCTAAATTAAAAAGATTCATTAGATATTATTAATTTTTCATAATTATTCTGTAACGATTTGTGCCGTCACTCGTTCGGTACTGGTCGTTTTGGACGGTACTATTTTTCTTCATTAATTGAGATTATAATTGAGGAAGTAACACATCCACGTTAACGAAGACATTTACACAAATCGTGTCAGTGCTAAAATACAAAAATGAGTGTGTACAGTAACTAATTATTAAAAAAAAAAAGAAAAAATTAAAAAGGTCTCACTTTTCGAAATGGATTTCTTTCGTAACATATGAACCAACACGTACTACTGTTCCGTAAGAAGTTTCATATAAATAAAATATTCTGGTGGTCCGTATCGTATCTCACGATTCATTTTCAATTTTAGGGCTGATAAGGACCCTGGCCAGGGTGAAGAAGGAGCTGAGGTTGACGAGATACTTCACTTATATGTTCGTGGCGATATGGAAAATCGTGGCCTTCTTCCTCAGCACGATGGTCATCTTGCACATGAAAGGAGACAACATCGGCTACTTGTTCACGATGTTCGGCACTGCGTTTAGTAGTCATAAAATCGTAGTTACGGCCATTCAGCCGAATTTGGGTTCCGGCACCTCACCTCTAGGAGTGATTCCTGACCTAGCCGAAATCTTGCCCAATGGCGAGACCGAAACCGTGAATGCAGATTTCAACACGCCGATTTACGTGCTCCTGCTGCAGATCTTCGGCGCATACTTCGTTTACGTCTTCGGTAACATGCGTAGAAATTTAATAATTATTCCCCCCGCGTGGAAGAATGAATCCCAAATAGAAATTCATGATCAACCTGTGATGAGGAAAATCGATTTACAAACAATTTACAGACCGTTTGCTACATGAACTGTCTGCAATATATGTCCACACATATTGCAGAATAAATTTAAACAGAAATTTGCGGATTATCGCACACTCGAGTCATATGCCAGTTGTGCCGTAATCGACATTTATCAGCTGAAGATATTTATCAAGAGCATCATTCCATGACTTTAATTTGCGGACATTGTATGAAGTTAGTTAATGCTATAAAATTGAGCTAAATATGACGTTGTTCCATGTTCCCCTTTCCATCACGCCATGACTCAAGTATGAGCTACAGAGTCTGAAATTGTTTATCGGCAATGCGTGATATAAATTTAGCTGTACGTATGCGTATAAACATTGGGACATTGCAGGTACTTAACTTTGTTTCAAATTTAAGTACTTTATAGGAACCGTTTAAAATCAATGGAAGAACGTTTGGTATGAAGTAAAATATTTTGGAATTTACGGGAAATTGTTAGAAACCGTTGTTGCAAAAAAGTTAATGCGCTCCTGCATGACATCGTCATTCGTCGTATAGAATCAGTATGAATCGGTTTTGAATGAAGGAATTCGTGTGGCTCGATTTCCGGGCGGATTCATCTTGAAACCCTTTTTATTCTGCTCTGTTAATTTATTCTATTTCTCGGTTTTAGGTAAATTCGCGTGCAAGATCCTGATCCAAGGCTTCAGCTACGCGTTCCCTGTGAACCTGACGATCCCGGTTTGCATATCGCTTCTGATAGCAGCTTGTGGTCTGCGAAACGAAGACCCCTGTTTCTTTCATGGGACTATTCCCGACTATCTCTTCTACGAGTCGCCGCCACTTTATTTTCTAAACGACTTCGTCTCGAAGCAATACGCCTGGGTTTGGTTACTCTGGTTGCTCTCGCAAACATGGATTACTTTGCACATATGGACGCCGAAATGCGAACGTCTCGCTGCGACCGAAAAGCTCTTCGTTGTCCCGATGTACGATAGTTTATTGATAGACCAGTCCATGGGACTAAATCGAAAAAGAGACGACCAGCCAGAAGTCAAAGTCGAGGTGAGTCTAATTCCGTTTTTCTCAAATTTATTTAACGTCCTCCTAGAATTTCTTCTCCAATTCCCATTGAACGCCAAACCTAACAGTTACATAACTTAACACTAACAAATAACATTACGTTTGTTACAATGTAATAACCTAACAGTTACGTAACATAGAGCTAACTAGTTACATGACATTTGTTACAATGCAGTAACTTAACAGTTATGTAACATGGAGCTAACAGGTTACATAACATTTGTTAGTATCATATCTATATAAATGTAGCATAACTTTGTTACTCTCATCTTACATTATGTTACTGTCCTGATATTACTGTGTATATGCAGCACATACTTCTAACAAAACAAAACTACATTGGTGCTAACTGTCATTTATTTTATTACATCGTCATCGTCATTGTCATAATTCATCGTCAAATGTCATAAGATTAATATATGTCATATTTTGTTTACTACTCGTATGAAAACATGTGACTAATTCATACGCGCATATACATTATCGGTCATTGTTTGCTAGTCGAATGAAATCCTAGTTGTCTTTAAGTAAAATCAGATAGTTTATCGTTACACCATTTCATTGAAAGTCTGATTTGTCATTTAATATCTATTTAACTATTGCCAAGTACCAACAAATAATTAAAAATAAAAAATTATATAAATTTGGATAAAATTACGTGATCTTTTTTATTAAATGTATGAAAAATTAATATTCTTTTAAGGTAACTGAAATTATAACATTAATATAACATGTTACCTTACTGAGTGGGAAATAATATCTAACATCTAACCTCCATGTTACTTTTATGCTACATAACATGTTAGTTTTGAAAACGTAACATTTACCCAACAGTTATATAAGAGTGTTCACTGGGTTATAGTGTTTGTTCTCCCTACCAATCACCGTATCATAGTTGCATAACACTGAAATAACTTAATATACAAAGAAAGTTATTAAAAGAATACATTAATATTATATAATATGGAATTATTACCGTTTCATAACATTATTAGAAATTTGTATTAACGTTTTATTATTAACGTAACGCATAATGTGTTACCCATATATTATGTGCATATTACGTTATTAGTTTTATAACGGTGTTACATAACTGCGTAAAAAAAAGCAATATGCATTACACGTGCATGTAATATGACATATGGAATGGTTTTCATTGTCGCTGTACTAAACAATACTTAAGGGTATAATTTTTATTAGGTTAATACTTCTAGATACATTACACTTGATGTTTTCTTATCTGAGGGTAGTGATATAAATTATGCATCCTTCTTCCTCAACCGCGATAAGGTGATAAGGTGAGGAGTGATTATTCGAGCCACAACGGGAACAATGGAGTTAATTCACATTTTTGTTCGTCACTAGGCTTCCTGATGTGATAGAATAATGATAGAACAATACAACAAATTCTATATCACTCGCAAGATCATAAGAAACATATCTATACAAATCCAATAAAAAACAATCCAGTAGATTTCTAGATTACCGGGAACATACAAACGTACAATCTTACGTCTTTGTATATTAATATACATTTTTATTTGCACCGATTATGTAGTATTTTTATTTCAGGACCTAGCCGAGATAGAGAAAGAAAAAGGTGACGGTGACTATGAAACGATTTACGAGCAGACCGATGGATCCAATACACCTCCAACCACGGTAAAAAGTAGTGATCACGTTACGAGGATATACGCTTGTGCCACTATGTGGCACGAGAACAAGGAGGAGATGATAGAGTTCTTGAAGAGCATCCTGAGGCTCGACGAGGACCAGTGTGCGAGAAGAGTGGCGCAGAAATATCTCAAAGTGGTCGACCCGGATTACTACGAATTCGAAAGTAAGGTCTAGTCGCCAAATCGTTCACTTCCAATCTTAGTCAATTTTTCAACGAGTACCGAATTCTTTAACACGTTGAACGCCACGGTGGTCAACAGTGCATATCGGTTGCCGTTCACTGGTGACCAACCTATTAACACATTTGCGACCGCTGACGTGAATTCACGTCTTTTCAAGTTCTATTCCTGGTTGCCGTTGATGTGAATTCACGTCATTTTAAATTCTACTCCTGATTGCCGCTGACGTGAATCACGTCCTGCTTAGTTGGCTCACTAATTGTATACAAGTTTGCGGCAACCAGTTTCAGAATTTCATTATTTTCGCCGGTACTCAGTATTTGAAACGGAAAAAATATTCCGGTCGCGAAAGTGTTAAGGTGATATGAAAGAGTCAGCCTATATATATCTGAGAAGTCAATTGGTTGATAAAAATAATCTCCGAATTTGGTGTATTGATTCGTTTCAAATTTTACCACGGGAATATGGAAGCCCTAAAGTAGGTCCTGAAATTCATGAAATTTCATTTTACATAAAAAAATTCATTTATTTATCGTGGACTAGAACCAACATGGCGTGGTCCCGGCACGTTTTCGATGTTTTACGCTTCTTGAAGGCTTAGAATCAAAAATCAAGCTGAAAATGAACCCAGCTTGAACAATTTAGAATACCGTAGAAATGGAATATTACAGAGTCAGATGGGAAAATGTGGAAAATACTTTTACCAACGATTGCAAGAGAATGCTTGTCCCGGGGCTAACGCGTGTCTGGAGCAAAAATTTAATTGCAGCTAAACAACACAGATGGCGACGTTGGTCCTAAACAGTCGTTAGAATAATGAATTCCACAGTTTTAGGTCGATCTCTTCGTCAGTACTTTATCGAAATGACATATGGAACGCTTTAGTTCGTATAATTCTTAACGTAGACTGTAAAAGATTTCAAAGACTGATTTCAGAAGGGCTTCACTTCACCCTAATAACATTATATTTCCGATTTTCATAATTGCTCCGTGTCGTTCCAGCGCACATTTTCTTCGACGACGCCTTCGAGCTCTCCGATCACGACGAAAACGAGTCACAAGTGAACCGATTTGTCAAGCTGCTGGTCGGGACATTGGATGAGGCTGCATCGGATGTGCACCAAACTCGAATGCACGTCAGAGCCCCGAAAAAGTATCCCACGCCGTACGGTGGTCGTTTGGTTTGGACACTTCCTGGAAAGACGAAGATGATCGCCCATCTGAAAGACAAGAGCAAGATTCGACACAGGAAGCGGTGGAGCCAGGTAAAGCACTCGTATAGAAAAATATGTTCAAAAGCAGGAATAAAGAAAACAGCGTCATATTTCGAAAAAGAAAAATCTGAGAAACTGCAATTTCGGCATCTTCGGACGGTTACCGACATTGCAGTTTCTCGGAATTTTCTCGAATTCGCTATAAGGACATCTCTGAAGCTTCGATAAGTGAATGTCTAACAAGGGAACATTCCCAAGTGTCCGCCTCCGATCTTATTGAGTTCCATATATGTTGAAGAACACAAAAATCTAAGAGACACGTGTTTTTTTATATCTGCAATGGTCCACAATTAAGGGGTGAAACAACCCTCCAAAGTTTAGGGAAAAATCGGTTTTTTAAATATTTTTCGTAGGAGCAGTGGATTGTTACAGTATTGGTTATACTATTACTATTACAGTAGTATGCTATTACTGTAGTAGTTATAAAAATCAATGACATTTTTAAGAATGACCACGTTGACACGAATTATGTACGATGAATTGGTCACGATATAACCCAATAAAGGTAGTCGGGATATACCCTAATACCACCTACATTCATGGTTTACAACCGATGTGTAAATGTTTATTGGTAAAAAGCAAAAAACACGTATTTCTTAATTTTTTGCGAGCAATCACATCGCGTAAGTGGAACTTAAGTAGGAGTGCTTGTGTAATGGATATTACAAAAAAATGTCACCTGAAGGATAGTTCACCCCCTTGAGGGGGTGCAACATTGCTGAACAATATTGTGTTGTCACCGTCCTTATACAGAATACGTTTATGCAAAGTTTCGTCGAAATCCCTCCACTGCTCCTACGAAAAATATTTAAAAAACCGATGTATCGCTAAACTTTGGAGGGTTGATTCACCCCTTAATTGTGGACCATTGCAGATATAAAAAAACACGTGTCTCTTAGATTTTTGTGTTCTTCAACATATATGAAACTCAATAAGATCGGAGGCGGACACTTGGGAATGTTCCCTTGTAAGTCACGGAGATTGTTTCTACGGTGAGAACCTTAAATCTAGTAAATAAAATTTGATATATTAATTGTAAATCTTTCTTTTCAGGTTATGTACATGTACTACCTTTTGGGACACCGGCTGATGGAGCTGCCGATCAGCGTCGACAGAAAGGAGGTGATCGCCGAGAACACTTACCTTTTGACTTTGGATGGTGACATCGACTTCCAGCCGGCCGCGGTGAAGCTTTTGGTGGACTTGATGAAGAAGAATAAGAACCTTGGCGCGGCCTGCGGTCGGATCCATCCCGTGGGGTCTGGTCCCATGGTTTGGTATCAGATGTTCGAGTACGCCATTGGACATTGGCTGCAGAAAGCTACCGAGCACATGATCGGCTGTGTACTTTGTAGTCCTGGATGTTTCTCCTTGTTCCGAGGAAAAGCACTGATGGACGATAACGTGATGAAGAAGTACACTACCAGATCCGACGAAGCAAGGCATTACGTGCAATATGACCAAGGAGAAGACCGTTGGTTGTGCACTCTTCTCTTGCAAAGGGGTTACAGAGTAAGAATCCCGCAATCTTACATATCGTTAGACATTAATTTCGCATAAAATTGGAAAGTACATTGTACACGGCTATATCTTATCGTTAGGTCGAGTACTCAGCAGCCAGCGATGCTTACACCCACGCACCGGAAGGGTTCAACGAGTTTTACAATCAACGTCGACGTTGGGTACCATCTACCATAGCCAACATCATGGATCTGCTCATGGACGCAAAGAGAACCATCAAGATAAACGATAACATCTCTTTACCGTACATCTCTTACCAAATTCTTCTGATGGGTACGAGAGCTCTTAGACGAAAAAGCATTTAAATACTAGCTAAAAAATGGCTTATCAGTTAGTTATATCTATACTGTTAAATATCGTATCTTGAAAATAGTTCTACTATACTTTTAATATACTTCGAAGAAATATTTTTAACGGTCCAACTAACAGAAAGTACTTTTAGGCGGTACCATCCTGGGTCCTGGGACCATATTCCTCATGTTGGTCGGAGCTTTTGTGGCGGCCTTCAAAATCGACAACTGGACGAGCTTTTATTACAATATCATTCCGATCTTACTCTTCATGATCATCTGTTTCACATGCAAGGCGAACGTCCAGGTAACAGCGTTCCATGTGTAAAACCTAGACGCTCCGTGAACGTCACTCTTGTCCTCGTCTTCGGCAACGATTTTCTCGACTCCTACTTCACGTTTTGTGTTACTTTCAGCTTTTGTGCGCCCAGATATTGTCCACGGCTTATGCGATGATCATGATGGCTGTGATCGTGGGAACAGCCCTACAGTTAGGCGAGGATGGAATAGGCTCGCCATCGGCCATATTTTTGATATCCTTATCAAGCTCCTTTTTCATAGCGGCTTGCCTGCATCCCCAAGAGTTTTGGTGCATCGTCCCAGGCATCATTTATCTCCTTTCAATTCCCTCCATGTACCTTCTCTTGATTCTCTACTCCATCATAAACCTGAATGTCGTCTCCTGGGGCACCCGAGAGGTCCAGGTGAAGAAGACGAAAAAGGTTCGCCATCAGAACGCGCGTTTCTTATCATAACGCGTTGCTGACTCTTCATGGTGGTGGGGGTGCTGGGATTGGTCTCTGGTCTGTCTTTCTTAGATCCATACAAAGGGGCTGGGATGAAAAGTAAGAACTAAAAAATATAAGAACGGGAAATATTTCTCCTACCATATCGCACAAAGCTTTTATACTTTCAGTAAAAGGCCTGAAAAATATGTAAAATATTAAATCATTATTCATCTTGGTTTACGAAAGTTCCACGTCATGCTTTGCTGTGTCCTTTATGCCGTAATGTCTCGCGTTATACTGTATCTAAGGAAATATTGTACACCCTTAACATCGAAAATTAATAATTAAAAGGTGTAAATATTATTGAAAGTAACGTTCCTTAGGACAGACTGATCTTGTAAATGATATACATTGGTGACCATTACAATCGCAACACCTAGAGACCGCGGGGACTGATATGCCAAATTTTATAGAAAATGTCTATTAGGCTAGAGTAACAAACGATGCAAATTTTAAGTAGTTTTAACAAAAAGGAAAATTTTAATGGCCGCCAGTGTAGTAATTCCCTTGATGTATGAAAGCGGTCTTAAAAGTTACTAACTCTTCTTGGAATAGATATTCGTAGCGGCGGTGATCAGCATCATTTACGGATTGGTGATGGTGGCTGTTATCACAGGGATTGCATTAAATATCTCGGAGGACGGTTGGCTATCACCAGCCTCCCTTTTCCTCATGCTAATCACGGCCCAGCTAGTAATAGCAGGAATCCTGCACCCCCAAGAATTGATCTGCCTACCCTGTGGTTTAATCTACTACATAACCGTACCCTCTATGTACGTACTACTAATCCTGTATTCCATCAGTAATCTGAATGACGTTACTTGGGGCACGAGGGAGGTCCAAGGAAAGAAGACCTTAGCGGTAATCACCCAACTAATTTCTCTATTAACACCTAACGCACTAATTTCTCTTATTCTAATTAATATTCTAGCGAGGTGGAGGCACCAGTACTTGATCATTTTAATACTTTTAACCTTCATGCCTTCTTCAGGTTCATTTAGACCCAAACCGAATTTTTTTTTTCTTCTTTTATACTTCTTTCCTACGTTTGCAATTACTTAAGCATTAAGGGGATGTGGAATATTTTTCATATTTTGTTATGAGAAAGATTCCCAGGTGGATCGGTTAAAAAATATGTTCTTGTGGGTGAAACTGCCAAATTGCCCCTTGACATGCCTTACTTTGGATGGTGGTTTCACCCCCTTAAAGTGTTTAATGGCAGATAAAAAAAAATACGTGTCGCTTAGTTTTTAGTCTACTGTAACATATTGTAAAAGAAATCAAATCGGACAGATCGACCTGGGATACCTTCCTTGTTAGAATAGCGTCGGCGGCAAGTTTGCAGTAATCTTTGCCGATGATTGAGTTAATAGTCAAATCTTCCCTACTCAGGAACTCGAGCAGGAAAAAAAGGAAGCCGAGGAAGCTAAGCGCAAAGCTAAGCAGAAATCATTACTCGGCTTCCTCCAAAATGGAGCTGGCAGTAACGACGACGATCAGGGTTCAATCGAGATATCATTAGCTGGCCTCTTCAAGTGCATGCTGTGCACTCACGGCAAACCTTCGGACGAGAAGCAGCAACTGGTTGCCATTGCTGAGTCCTTAGAACAGCTGGGAAAACGATTGGAAACTATCGAGAAGTATGTTTATTCCATCTAATCAATTACTCAGTGCACCCAATTTGGAGAAAAGTTTTAGAAATATTTTCACGTTTTGATACATAGAATGACCCTTTTATATCACCTAGAGGTGAAATAAAAGAGTCATTCTATGTACATCAAACGTGGAAATATATATAAAACTTTTCTCCAAACTGGGTGCATCAAATAATTTGAAACTTTAGCACGTGAATATGGAGGCCCCAAGGAAGAACGCGATGCTCGTGAAATTTCATTTTTCACAAAAAAAAGACATGTGATTTTGGTTTTAGTCAAGGCTGAACAACAATAATTTTCTTTGAAAAATGAAATTTCACGAGCATCGCTTTATTTCTTAGGGCCTTTCTAATCACGTGCTGAAGTTTCAAATGATTCGGTGCACCTAATTTGAAGAAAAGTTTTATAAGTATTTTGACGTCTTGATATATAAAGCCACCCTTTCATATCACCTTAAGGTGATGTAAAAGGGTCATATCACCAAGGTTCATATCACCTTAAGGTGATATAAAAGGGTCGTGCACCGAATCATTTAAAACGTCATCACGAGATTATAGCGGCCCTAAGGAAAAACACGATGCTCGTGAAATTTCATTTTTCGAAAAAAATATTTGTATTTACCTCGGACAAGTACCAAAATAAGGCATTTTTTCTTTTTTAACGAAATTTCACGAGCATCACGTTCTTCCTTAGGGCCTTTCTAATCACGTGCTGAAGTTTCAAATGATTCGGTGCACCCAATTTGAAGAAAACTTTTATAAGTATTTTGACGTCTTGATATATAGAATCACCCTTTCATATCACCTTAACTGGTTGTACCGAATGCTCATTGAAAGATGCTTTGAGGAGAAATAATTACCAGAGGTAAATTTTCCAGGACCATCGATCCACATGGACATGCAGCAGCAAGAAGACGAGCCTCCTCCGTGGGTTCGCGTAACAACGATCATCTTGGTGCCATTGGTGAAGACCCTGCCGAAGCCGAGGACCGTGATAGCGAAACCGATACCGTAGAAAGCCAGAACACCGAAGGACATCGCGAAGGGAACTTCCTGTCCAGGCCATATTGGCTGGACGACGAAGGGCTGAAAAAGGGAGAAGTCGAGATCCTGTCTCTTCAGGAGGAGCAATTCTGGAAGGACTTACTTGAGAAGTATCTCTATCCCATCGACGAGGACAAAGCGGAGAAGGTAACCGTGGTCGACGTCGAGAAGGAGACGGTTCAAAGGACCACAGAAATGAGCACGAGATATTCTACGAATACCTTTACGTTTGATATAATATTCCGCGGAATGAAATATTCCATCGTAAAGGTGTTCGCTGAAACAGACCGTCCATTTCTTGGAGCGTAGTCGATTTTCCAACTTTCTCTTAAGGTGATGTAGAAGTGGCATCAAAGAATCCTTGTTCATGAAACTTTTTTCCGAACTGAGTGTATCAAATCCATTCACACTTTGCCTGTATACAAATATGGAGGGTGTAAGGAAGGTCCTGACACTCCTGAAATTTCCATTTTTTGTAAGTTGGTCATAGATATTTCTCAAATTTGTTATGAAACATGAAATTTCATTAGTGGCAGGACCTTCTTTATAGCCTCCACGTTCACGGTGTAAAGTTTGAAACGATTCGGCACACCCAGTTTGGAGAAAAGTTTCATGAACGATTGACTCTTCGGATGTCACTTTTACATCCCCTTAAGGGGGTTCGAAAGCGTTATCTGAGTTGTCAGTCGTCCATGAAACTTTCCTTCAAACTGGGTATACCGAATCGATTCAAACTTTACGACGTGAATGCGAAGGCTATAAAGAAGATCCCGATACCCATGAATTTTCATTTTTTACCAAAAATTTGACAAATATATATAGACAAATTTTTTTCTAATTGAATTTTCACGGGTATTAGGAGCTTCCTTACAGCTTCCATATCCTCGTTGTAAAGTGTGCAACGATTCGGTAGACCCAGTTGGTGGAAAAGTTTCATAAACGAAGCCACTTTCACATCTCCTTAACACGAATTCGATAAATTGCCAACAAAGTTCTCCATACTCCTGTTAGCTGTTTTCGAATTTATTTAATTCTAATTTAATATTGACTTTTGAGAAATATCTACAGGGATAGTATTGCGTTATGAGATTCTTTCTATTTGCTCAAAGTAGAATCTGACTCTCGAAAGCTTTGAGCTCTGATTAAAATCATGTTAATTAATTTGTCAGTGATACTCGCGTCAAGCTCGTTACCCCGATTACATTTTCTCTGTCTCTTAATTAATATCTCGTTAATTAATCCGTCGATCCTATTTTCTTTGGATTCGTGACACCGATGATATCTTTTTTGACAACTTATTAAAATCCTGTTAATTAATCTGTCGATGCTACTTGCGTCAGGCTCGAATCGCCAGAGATCTGAAGGACCTCCGTGACCAGAGCGTCTTTGCGTTCTTTATGATGAACGCCCTCTTCGTCCTGATCGTCTTTCTGCTGCAGTTAAACAAAGATTTGCTGCACATTAAGTGGCCCTTTGGTATCAAGACTAACATCACCTATGACGAAAGCTCCCAAGAGGTAAAATTCGCTCCGCAGGTGTCTCGTGCCCTCGATAACAACTACGATGGAGGCCTACACAATTTCTAAGTAAATCCACATATTGAATGCCAAAAATTACCTCCTCCATTATTCGTCGCTTCAAAGCACACCTAAGTTTCAAATTACGTATTTCCAAGTTGCGCACACGATTCATGAAAGAAATTTCTAATACAGAACAATACATATTTTATGTTATCGGACCTCTAACTTGAGCCGCGTAACATTTACAATAAATATCTCCTAAATGGTGGATATTAAAAGATTTCTTCTCGTTGATTGTACGGCTTGGTTCTTCCTGTATAAAACAATTTTAGGGAACGTTCTAAGAGGATGGAATTGTTTTTAATTGTTTATGATTAATCCCTCTATCGTGGTTGCTGATCGAGGTGCATGGTCACCCTGCGGAGCTAAAATTCATTCTACTAATCCGATCGTTTCTTTATACCTACAGGCTCGCATTGCCACCGACCTGATCGAGCTGAGGAACAAGAGTGTGTTCGCCTTTTTAATGTTCAATGCCTTGTTCGTTCTGATCGTATTCTTACTGCAATTGAACAAAGACCAGCTACACATTATCTGGCCGCTCGGAGTCAAGACAAACATCACCTACATTGAGGAGACCTCGGAGGTACCGGCGCATCCCCGGAAGCCCCGTTAAATCCGAGCCTTGAGACTAACACCAGGCCGAGGTGTCTTTCATCCCGTACTACCACCTTTTACCTCTTTCAGCGCCTTTCAATCCGATTAAGACATTTGCATCTACACTATTTATATACGGTGGCCCAGGCCACCCGTTCACCCCTATTAAGGTGATATGAAAGGCGCTGAGAAATTTAATCGAGGTCGATAAATTAAAATTCATCTGTACCCTTTTTGGTGGTAACGCTATTTTGAATACTCAAGTGGTAACATAAGCTGGCCCGTCTCGTTACCGACATTTATATCTATGTTGAAGTCTTTTACAGTCCACGTTGAGAATAATTCGAACTGAAGCGTTCCATATGTCATTTCGGTTAAGTGATGACAAAGAGATCGATGTAAAACTGTCGATATCCCGTGAATTCATCATTCTAACCACTGTTTAGGACCGACGTCGCCATCTGTGACGTTTAGCTGCAACTAAAGTTTTGCTCTACAAACACGCGTTAGCCTCGAGCCAAGCCAGTTCTTGCAATCCTTGGTGAAAATATTTTCCATATTTTCCCGTCTGACTCTGTAATATTCCATTTCTAAGGTATTCTAAATTGTTCGAGCTGGGTCCTGAAACTCTTCATTTTTTATACTAAGATTTCAAAAAGCGTAAAACATCGAAAACGTTCCCGGCTGACGCCGTGTTGGTTCTAGACCACGATAAATAAATGAATATTTTATGTAAAATGAAAATTCATGAATTTCAGGACTTACTTTAGGGCCTCCATATTCCCGTGGTAAAATTTGAAACGAATCATTACACCAAATTCGGAGATTATTTTCATATACGATTTGACTTCTCATATATATACAGGCTGACTCTTCCATATCACCTTAAGGGGATATGAAAGTGGCATTTGAGAGGTCGATCGTTCGTGAAACTTTTCTCCGACCTGAATGCTCCAGATACTGGAACATTGAGATTAACGAATTATCAAACATTTGCAAAATATTGATCATTAACGACATAAGAAATATCTCGACTAAGAATTAATTGTCGAATTTTGTTAACGAGTTGGACGAATCTCGCAATAGAGAACTCCCATTTATTAAATCGAGAATGTAATTTTTATTAACCCTTTCGGTTAAAGTTCGTGTTAATTTTTATAAATAGGTGGTAACGACTTTTTTTTATAAATAGGTGGTAGTGCGGGATGATTTCTATACATCTTCGGCATGCCTGCTCTGATGTGGTACCGATGTTGCACTTGCTCGGCCTAGGAAGAGATGATTTGTGTACATGCATGGATATATACCGCTGTTGGTCTCTCCCAATCTGTCTTCATCGTCTGTGTTAAGATGTAACATAATCTTCTATTTTATCTTCCTTATGACCAACAGGACGGGCTGGGCGGTGTCTCGAAGGGTCGATTCACCCTTCCCGAGTGGTAACACAAATAATGGACTCGATTAATGGTGACTAATACCGTTCCATGTTGGAAGGGGCACGTTTTTAAGGTCCGAGGCTCACCCTGGTTTCCTGTTTTGTGTCTAACTCCGAGATATGCACCTTGCGGTCACGTGGCGACGGTATTTGTACATTTACATGACACTCTTAACAGCGACTGCACCGAGGGGCGTGCAAATGTTTCTCCACATTGTTGCGTGTGCACGTAATGCGTCACCTGCGTAAACGTTTCTTCCTTCATTCTTATACCATAAAATTTCGACGCATACAAATGTTAATAGTATTCCGAGAAGGTATTCGAATTTTGGCTCGATCTACAGGAATTTTGTCTCGAAGATCCAATGGGCGATTTCGAGATTCTATTTGATCTTCTGATTGCGAGGGTCTTATTTCATTAACACAATGTACGACGTTATAGACGCAATTATTCTTCGGTTATTTCTCATTTACAAGTGGACATTATTTCATAATTAATTTATCGATTCATCGTTCATTTTCCATGGAAGACGGTTATAATAGTACTGGAAGTGGAATATTGCTGGTATAACAACTTTAACAACTTTGTAATTTTGCAGGACATTGTACATATTGTGAACACAGCATGGTTATGGCAGCAATATTCTATTGTTGTACTACCGATAGCTGCATTGTGTTAAATTACATATCCGAATTCGGCAACATTTGTTAATGGAACAATAGAGATGACTTCTTTCCAGTGTAGAGAATCCTTAATTATCAATAAGCGAATCTCGGTCAAGCAAAAAAGAGGAAAACAACGAGAAAAGTAATAGTTAAATACAGTTTCCGCAGGTATCGCAAGGCAGCGATAAAGCCGCACTAATGGGATCCAATCCTGTGGCTGTGGGTCTTGTTCGTTGGCGATTTACCAGAATATTGGCGATTTACAAGAAATAAACAATTGTTTTGCACACGATTCATCGTCGCTTGATTAAACTGCATTAACCGGTATGGACGGTAAAGCGGACAAACAGCTGACGGTTCTTTCTCCCTTTCTTCAGGTGCACATCTCAAAGGAGTACTTACAGCTCGAGCCAATTGGTCTCGTCTTCGTCTTCTTCTTCGCCCTGATCCTCGTCATCCAATTTACGGCGATGCTGTTCCATCGCTTCGGCACTTTCGCGCATATTCTGGCCAGCACAACTCTAGATTGGTATTGCTGCAAGAAGGTGAGAATTAACCTCGGACGCTCTTATTATTCATTATAAATGATTTACTCTTTCGTTATGTCCTTCCTGTCAACTACTTCCGCGCTGCCTTTTCCAGTCGAAAGATCTTTCGGAAGAGGCGTTATTGTCGAAGCATGCAGTGGAGATAGTACGTGATCTGCAAAGATTAGACGGCATGGAGGGTGACTACGACGAGGGCAGTGGCAGTGGTCCAGGAAGACGAAAAACTATCAGGAATCTCGAGAAGAGCCGCAGGAAGACTCAGGCGATCAACACCCTGGATGTTGCCTTCCGACAGCGCTTCTTCAGCATGTCCGAGGGCACTGGTAAACAATCGTCTTATTACTTATCACGGATCTCTGATTTTCAATGTAAAACGCAAGGATTAGGTGATAATTACTTAAACAATATACTTTACATCTGATAACACTGCAATGCAGGCGGTAACACTGAATTCAGTATTTCTCCTGTATATAAATAATCCTTTTTTGTATTTCTTTTTGGTGTTTTAGGCTTACCGAGGAACATGTCCACTCGACGCTCGACCAAAGCGTTCAAGGCATTTGAGGGAAGAAGAAATAGCATCATGGCCCTTAGGAAGAAGTCCCAAATGCAGACCCTGGGGGCCAACAATATTTACGGAGTTGCCGGTAATTTCTGAATTTCTACCTTTAACCAGACGGGAGTAGATCATCCATCACGATTCTCCCGGCCATCGCGGTGGCGGCAAGATGTCCGCCATTTTGATCGCCGGGGGTCTCGCGAAAAACTCGTTGCATAAACTAACATTGGTTTTAAACGAAATACCTACGCAATAAAAACCAGTTCACTAAAGTAGCTACGCTGAAGACAATAAACTAAACAATATAATAACGGATTCTCCCGGCCATCGCGGTGGCGGCAAGACGTCCGCCATTTTGATCGCCGGGGGTCTCTCGAAAAACTCGTCGCATAAACTAACTTTGGTTTCAAACGAAATACCTACGCAATAAAAACCAGTGCACTAAAATAGCTACACTGAAGACAATAAACTAAACAATATAACAACATATTAAGACCTACACAGAAACAAAGCACGAGGAAGACATTCTGATAACGCCGCGTAGCCAGCCAAAGAAGCAACCGCACGGAGAGTAACTAGCTCCTCATGTTCTTACAATCCATAAATAAAAGAAACTCGAATACAGAACAAAGGAATAATACACAAAACAGTTTAACAGTTTGAGTTGGCTAAGGTGTCCTAACGGATACAGCAGGCCAAAATAGATGCTGCAAAGCACCATCACAGAAAACCAGATAACCTATCAAATACACCTTCGGTGTTAACAAACTCTGCCAAATACGTTTGTTATTAAGACAATGATAATTTTAATGTATTTCCAGCATTTCTTTAGAAAAAACCTGCTAAAACTTTTGATCATAAAGACCGCAATATACGCGTCAAATACCTTTAAAAATTTCAATTTCTCGGATAATCTAAGTTTCTAGATTTCGGGATTTCTAATATTCTTTTATATAATTTCTAGAGGCAGAACATAAATTATAAATAGACAGATCATTGAATTTCCTTTTCTTTAAACAAAATGGTAGAAAGTAATGTCCTCCCGTTTCGATTAAATTCTTTGGGCTTTGAAATAACCTGAAGTGTTTAGCTCCAGTTCGAATTCCTGGATTTGGAAATTTCTATTTTCTTTTCTTATAATACGTATATATATATATATATAACATACTTTATATATATAATATATTGAATATTACATATAACTCGCGTTATATATAATAATTAAATATTATATATGACGCGAGAGAAGGGTGTTCTTTTTGGAGTTTCGAGGTTTTTAATAATGACTTGAAATCGTAGGGAATCCACTGGGGATTCAAGGAAGGCCTTCAAGAAGTAGCCAAATATCCGTGAAGGAGGTCTTCGAGGGTCATTCAGGACACGTAAATTCGGCATACGAGGGAGAGGAAAGTCCTGGCAACAGTCTGAGACTGCAATCGCTGGGCCAAGTCACCTGGCGAGATGGTGCATCCAAAATGTAGATAATCGTGGAACCCAGGTAGTACCGAGTGGTACTTAGTACCAAATTATAATAAGTAATTGCGCCGACAACGAAGCGTTATCATGGAGATTACTAGTTTTACTAGAATTGCCCTAGAAGTAGCAGCTCTGATACAGTTGCCCACACTGATGACAATTATCCTCGTGTCAATTTAGCCGCAGTCTATTAAGGTAGAGAAACAAGGCGTAGACCCACGTGGGTTCATTCGAACGTGGGAATTAATCAGTATGTTCATGTGCAGTCAATTGTACATATCCAAGTATCCGCACACAGAGATTACCATACGCTATAGTCAGCATAACTATGTAATTTTATAACGTAGGCGATTATTAAGGGCGAGTCCAGCCGTGTCCTCGTTTGAAATTTTCCACGGAAACATTTAAAAGAATAGTTGACATCCCCGAGGAACCGATTACATGGAAACATATTGAACTATTAAAAATTCTGTCGATTTGTTTCTTGAGCATTTTTTTTCCCCTTTTTTTTATTTTTTAATATTCACAAGTCCGTGGAAAATGTCGAGTAGGTGTAGAAAATATTATTTGAATTGGAGGTTCAAGGACACATTTTAACATTATTTGCCGATTATTCGCAAGTTTATACACATTAGAGATGCAAATCGCGGAGAGTAATCGCGCAAGAGAGTATAATTGCTTTCAATTAGAAGCGATATTTTGCCCGACCATGCGCGAATCACGTTTTCACTTCCTTTTTTACCCACGACGTGGTTACTATAATCTATTACATTTTATCATTTTTTTCTTCCTTTTCTTTCTAAAAAGTGATACCTCAAATATTTAACGAACTATTGTTATTAATCTTAACGTCTCCCATTGTAACGAGTGCAATTGGGAGAGTGAGTGTACGATCGAATGTGCGATATTACATGAATTAGGAGATTATTATGAATTAGGAGATTAGGGATAAGGACCCTGAAAGTCTTATCATTGTACATATATATCTCCGAGATCGGATGCATGTATGAAACGCGGGGAAAGGAGCGACTGATACTGGTACATGCTCATTTTTCACGCATTAAATAAATGTAGAATACCTTGCTATAATTCCACTTTTTTGTGCTAATTTCTGTTTTCGTATTCTCCGTTTTTCTTTTTCTTTTTCAACGCGAAATAGGAAACGTCTGCGACTGGTATTAACATGCCCTTTTTGCATAAGAAATAAGTACTCTGCTATTATTACACTTTCTTTGTGAATTTCTAGTACGTGTCTTCATTTCTTATCAACGCTGGAGGAAAGAAGAAACTGATACCAGTGCGTGCTCACTTTTCACGCATTCAATAGATATATATATCTTGCAACCATTCCATTTCCTTTGTTAACCCTTATCACTCCAACCTGGAGTAAGGCTGCCAACTTCTAATACTCTTCTCATATTCTTCGAATGATAAGGGTTAATTCCTCCTATGCATCTCCACATCTTATCAAAGCGAAATAAAAGCAATGATTGAGACCGGCATATGTTCACTTTTCTAGATTTAATTTTCTTTATTAATTTCTCCTACCCTCATCTTCGTTTCTTATCAACTCGTGGGGAGTAGAAACTGATACCGACACATGCTCATTTTTCACGCATTAAGTAAACATATGATACCTTGTTATAATTCTAATTTCTTTTTAATTTCTACTGCATATCTTCGAAAGGAAAGAAGTCTATACTGATGCACGTTTAGCTCTCCATAATTTAATTATCTTTGTTCATTTCTTCCGGGCCCTATCTTTTTTCTTGACAAACTGGTAGGAACGCAATTGTTGATACCGGTATTTCCTCACTGTTCCATAATTCCATTTTCTTTGTTAATTCCTGCTACAATATCTTTATTTTTTAATAAAACGCAGAAAAGGGCGATTGATACCGGACATGTTCAATTTTCTCGCAGCTAATATATTTATAATATTTTACTGTTATTTCGTCTCTATCATTTTTAGCTAATGTCCTTCTGAATATGTAACCAGATTTTTTTACCAAAGTATTAGATATTTTTCAGCTGATTTAATCCAACGGCACGGAGAAACCTCAAAGAACGCAAACTTATTGTTAAAATCCCAACCAATGCACATAAGAAATGAGGCAAAATTCGACAGTATTTGATATATAAATGTATTATAGGTAAACACACACGAACCTGATGCAACTAATAAACAGGTGTACAACAATATCGTGTCTACTAACATCAAGATTCTCTGATAACATGGAATTATATCATACAACAGTTCTTTGACTTGTTTTTAATTCCTTTGATTAATCGAGCAGCCACCTTCAGAAACATATTAGAGCTTTAGTGAATCCCAGAACGCCAAGTTACGAGCAATATGATATATAAATTAAAAACCGTGTAAGAAAAACTAGTAAACTTTTATTATTCTTCCTAAATAATGGAAGACATTTTTAATTTAATGAGAAGTCCTAAGAGCAAGGGTAGCAAATACTCCGACGAAGCAGGAGCTGTATTGCGCCAGATCGACATTCGGAACATCGTACCACTCACAAACTTCTTCCACAAAGAAATGGTCGAAGATATAAGACGCAGCCAGACTAAATGCCACGTAATTGCCAACTCGTAGGCAGGCAACAATTACGGCAGCTAGCTGCAGACAGACTACGAAGCTCTCAAGACGCGTCTTCTCGTACAGACGTGCCAATGCAAGGAGCTCGTAAATTACTGGCAAAAAGCCCAACGTCAATAGACTTAGTCTTATTCTCTCATCTACGTGGGAATCGTATAAAATCTCGTTTACGAAGAAAACGAAGGAGAGCAGGCTCGCCGTTGCAGAGAACCACTCGTACAAATTGCGAATGTGCTTGCTGTTACCTGAAATACCTGAAAGGAGTTATTTAAATTAATTTTGTCTTTCGAAAACCATTCGATGTTATTCAAAACCACAACGTATTTCCATAACATTAGACGATTGCTTTTTACAAGCACGAACTATGGAATTCCTAGAGCGGACATGCGCAACGACTTACAGAATCGAACGAGTCCAAAAACCGAATGAAGGAGCATCAGCTGGAATCCGCGAATCGCCCAGCAGCGTTCCCCTGCGCTACACAAACCGTAAGGATTTTGAAATTCCGTCATGCAAATCAGAGTGATGCATAGTTTTACCAGATGCGCGATGGCAGCTCCAGGATTCGCCATAATTGGCGATGAAACCAGATGAGATGTACCCTGGACTCCGTCGATGGTTTCCTCCCGTCCGCTCTGCCCTCTCCGGCCGCGCAGCGTACTAGCGGCGGGAGCAGCGTGGAATTTGAATCGCCTGAGGGGCAGAATGGATTTCCAAAAGAAAATAAATATTTATAAACAAAAGCAATTAATGAAAATTATTTAAGTACTATTTTGGAGTGTCCCTGACCCACCTAACGTAGTTTTTGTTAAATGACAATTTACAGAATTTTTAAAATCATATAATATAACATGTTTTGTTAAATGTTAACAAGTTTCTTAGCGATTCAATTGTTCCATTCACTGAATCGAAGTTAGAATATTATCTTAGCTTAAAAAAATAGTTTCTAAATATATATACAGTGAAATGCCGTAGGAAAATTTACGATGCATCAACTTTCGGTCATAGAAACGAAATCGTGGTTTCATGTCTTTTATATATTTACGATCTACACCATTCTTCATATTCCCCGAATAAATGAACACCTGTAAATTATTAAATGAGCATGTAAATGAGCACTCGAAACAGAAACTTGTTAACATTTAATAAAATATGTTTTATTATATGATTTAAAAAATTCTGTAAATTGTCATTTAACAAAAACTACGTTAGGTGGGTCAGGGACACTCCAAAATAGTACTTAAATAATTTTCATTAATTGCTTTTGTTTATAAATATTTATTTTCTTTTGGAAATCCATTCTGCCCCTCAGGCGATTCAAATTCCACGCTGCTCCCGCCGCTAGTACGCTGCGCGGCCGGAGAGGGCAGAGCGGACGGGAGGAAACCATCGACGGAGTCCAGTGTACGGAACTGTCAATCCATATTGATTATACTACTGGGCCGAAAGCCATCACGAAAATGAAAACGAATCCATATTGATTATCCAGTATGGAGGATTTACAATGACAAATGCCGACCTAACCTCACGGTAATGTGGCGATAACACCTATGAGTGTGCACTTTCAAAATTTCCGAGTGACCTGTCATCATAGCGGATTTCCGAGATAAATTTTCAGTATTACGATGTGCAACGTGGAACTTTTATTGCGAGGGTGCTGATTATACGTCATGAACGCTGGAGAGGAGGATGTACCTGTGCTACAGTCAACCCCTGGACCATCTGTAAAGAAACTAAACTCTCCGGAGCAACAGCTTTCCAAAGCTAAAAACCATGTAGGAATGTTGGAAGATACGAAACCAATGATGGAAAAAGGCTCCGATGCGTTGAATGGAACTGTCTTGGGAAGATCCGATGGTGCAAGAGCGTGGAAGGATGGAGTGGTGCCCACTATACCCGTTTTGTTCGATCAGGGTATGCTAGATAAACAAAATGGTATATTGTCACATGAAATTGATAGTAATTCACCAGTCGATGATTCTGACGATGTAGAAGAACATACGAGCATGGAGCGTTTAAAAATCAGCGTTGTGCGAGGGAGTATCATCAAGCCAGACCTTACCTTGGGGGAATTAAAGCTCCTAGGATGCAGTAGCGAAGGATTTGTTAATGGTAATTTTTTTAATAATAGCCAATTGACATTGCAAGCAATGAGGAGCATTGTAACTGCTCGAGATTAATATTTATTACCTTCGAAATATTTTTAATCTAGGCTCCTTGTCGATTGTAATGTCATTTTGTAAATTTTAATCTTGAAATCATAAAGATGATCTGTAGATGATATAAGAAGGGTTCTGTGGCCGAGAGTCTTGGGATTACCGGAGGAAGTACCACCACCAGTACAAGGTCTAGAGACAATTCACACGCAGATTCCACATGCGACATACCACCAAATTCTAAATGATGTAGCACGCAGTGGAAGCCATATATCTTCAGATGCTTCAGAGGAAGAAATTAAAAGGTTTCAAAATGAAATGATAATGGTAATATGCTGGGTTCTGCAACGACATCCTCAATTAAAGTTAGTACATGTAGATATAAGGAATGTCTAGCACTAATTTTTTAATAATCCATTATTAGAAAATGTTTATTTATATCTACATATAGAAATTCTTCATTGCATTCCATTTTATTATTTAACAATGATCCTTAATGTCACCAATAATTTGTATTGTATGTTTTATAGTTACTATCAGGGCTACAATGATATAGCAGCAACGATACTCATAGTCATGGGTCTGCAAAGAGCTTTACATGTTTTAGAAAGAATTACTCTAAACTTCTTGGAACGCTTCATGGAGAAGACCATGGAAAAAGTAAATCAGGAACTGTTTTATATATTTGCATTACTGGAGAGAGTACACCCTACTCTCTTGGAACATTTGGAGAAGTAAGTAAATTTTAAAAAATGACACCCAGACTTAACCAACTGTAATTACGACTCAGCTAATTTACTTTACAGTGTAGAATTGTTCCCTCACTTCGCCCTGGCTGAGTATACTACATGGTACGCGCACAAATTTGCAGAGAACCGAAAATTACTGCACAGGCTCTTTGATTATTTCTTAGGGAGTCCATCTTTAATGCCGTTGTACCTAAGCACAGTAATTGTAGCACACAGAGATACAGAAATATTCAGCACTACTCCAGACATGGGACACACTCACAAAGTGCTCTGTACCGTATGTGTAAACTAGTAGCTGACAATAACAAAGATTCATTTGTTTCTATTTTTCTGATATTAATTTTTTTATTATGTTTTCATAGCTACCCGATGATCTACCCTTTGAAAATCTACTGCACGCTGCTACAAAGCTGTATCGAGAATACCCACCGGAATCTATTAGTACCGATGTTACTGATTATGACAACAAAAGACGAAGCAAAGAGGAGGAATGGAAAGCAAAGGCAGAAGCTAGTCGAAAAGAGCGAGAAAAGCAAAGGCAACTTCAAGTTGCCCTTCCTAGGCGGATACCTTATCGAATTAGAAATTACAAAACCATCACCGTTGTCACAATTCTTGCCTTGGGACTATATGCCTTTCTAAAAACATCCTCGGCACTCAACTGACATTAACTGAACTTGCCTTATTTCATGAGGATTTTGTATCAGTTTCCATACACACGCATTGAATCCCTGGGAAGGATTCATGTGAACGTTTGATGATTATGCAAGTGGGATTCGTTGCGATACCTGAAAATCGCTGAAATGAAGGGGGAACTGCAGAAGAGTACACAATGGAATATTTTTAAATTTGCTTGGCAGTGCGCCCAGGTGGCAATAAGTGTTGCCGAATCTTTTTACTGAGGTTTTTCGAGCATTCCTGCACTGCCTTTGTGCTGTGTTCTATGTGGGTTGAGACTCGCCGAAGTTCCACACAGATTCACTTTACTCACGACCGAGATTGTCATCAATGAACATTTTCTGATGGTGGTGATGACAGTTCTAAGGAAAAAACCATAGTCTCTCCAGAGGAGATTGTTATCAAGTATAGCAAATTGACTGTCTATGCTATGGAGTGGAGTACTCGGCGAACCCTGCTCCTGATAATTGTAGTTTCAACTATCACTGCACCTCATATACATCTGAGGCTAACAAACTTATTTATTATTAATTGCAAGTTATATAGGCTGTATGTAAAGTAGAAGGATATATCGATCATTAATAAAAAAAAAGTTTAATTTTTCGTGAAACTTTTTTACTTCACTCAACCTCATATTTCTGCAATTAACATTTTAATTAAAAATTTGTGCCGAGCCAGTTCACATGAATGGTCTCGCATTTTCACCACCAAAAACGTTCCGTAATATCGTCAGCTACTCGCTTTTCACATTTTCGTTCAATTTGCTTTACGTAATAGACCCCCAGAGTACCGGTACTTTGAAGCGCTATACTTAGTCGTACATGTTGAATTTGAGTGTACCAACTGTGAGATATTTCTATGGCCAAATACTATTGAAACATAAAAAAAATGCGATCTTTTAACCCATCACAGTAGTATAGCCCTTTAAAGTTTAAATACAGTTTTAAAGGTTTTCATATCTTCGAATGTACACCTCAATGTTGCATCACAAAAGTTAATGTCGCATGCATGAGATTGTTTCACGTAAAATAGCTGCATTAAAACTCTAAATTGTTAAAATCATAGCCGTCCTTGTATTTATTTATACATACTAAACGTATTTTTCTTCATCTGTATGATGAAAACGAACAGATGTCGAGTCTACATTAGCAGATTTCTTTCAATAAGTTACAGTACTTCGATTAAAACTTAACAATTTTCTTTGTTAGAAAAGTGAATGGTATTAAATACAGTTAATAAATACGTAAAAAATTGTACTATATTTCTGTTCCTAACAATTGCATCGAAACAGTTTGTGCTATATGGTTTATCATTAAGTAACTGTAGAATTACACTCTGTCAACAGGAATTCACCTTAAATTTATTTGAGCAAAATTAGGTAACTATGAAGGATGTTCACTGATAGGCAAGACAAAGGCTTGCTTCGGTCATTGTCAAGAGAATTGCTCAAAAGACATAACAAAATTATAAAGTATTCTAATATGTACATGATATTTTATCTAACTGTTCGGCCTCTTTAAATGTTCACTGCCACAGAAATAATTCAGCTATACAAGTGACGTTCACTTACGTAATCCTTCACTTCACCGTCATTTGATTCTATCACGTTTTTAGAACAGCTTTAATGTAATCTAAAACTACAGGATTCCGGAGCACATCCATATGATTTACCTTTGGGAAGGGTTGATGATAAATTTTTTGCTTCTGTTTGCCTTGCCAATACCGGCAACCTTCGAGGCTCCTGAGATTGACAGTACCATCCCCGTCTCCGGGTATTAACTGAGGATAATCATTCACAGAAGTTCCTGGTTTATAGTATAGCCTGTAATAACAAAATTTAATATTAATATCTTACAATTCATTCTTTTTCAATGTAAAAATTTAACTTTTACTTTTCCACTGTGTCAACGTTAACGCCATGTAAGCAATGTATTTCAACACCTGGCGGTGTAAAGTCCAGTTGGTACTTTTCAGAATCTTTGTGAAATTCCCAGCCATTGGGGACATTTATGTCTCTGTGAAAAAAATGTATAAATGACTTCTAACGTCAGAACCATATTTCATAGTTAATTAATTTCTTAAGGAGTTCATACAGGAAAAATTGTTGCAGATTTTGCAGAGTGTAATTCATTTGCTCCGTTTGTACCAGAACTTCAGTGTCTTTCCAGAATAATTTTGATGGTAATAGCCATCCTAAACTTGGGCTAGTGATCTGCTCCTCTTTCAGGGTGCTTTGTCGTAAGACATATGTACCCAAGTCATCCCCTAAAAGTTTTTAATCTACGTGTATTAATAAAGATTGTATACCAGTTTTAATTAATACTTTCAATCAAACATAAGTTTGACTGCAAAGGATGAGTTTATAGAATGGCAACAAATCATCCATGTAAATTACCAATAGCGAAAACTTTAAGTGCTTTGACCGATCCTCCCCAAGGCCCGGCAAGGGTTATCAACGAATTAATATATTTATTCTTCCAAGTTTGAGTCTGCCGTTGCAAGAAGATCAGTGACATAGGACTACCCATACTGTGTGCTATTAAAGTTACCGGTTGATTATTATTCTGTCCATATGTTACTTCAATGAGTGTTTTAAGATTGACAAAAAATGCATCGTTCTCATCTGAAATAAGTCCATATTAACTATTTGGCCTGCTAGATGATATTAATTACCTGAAACATCTGAAAACATTTGATTTAGCTTACTCGGTGCTTTCCTGAAGTCATAGGGTGCTCCTCGCAAAGAAACGTTTCTAACGTAACCAAGCTCGGTAACAAGCATATTTCCAATATCCTTGAAATAATATCCTGGCGATGCTTTACTGGGGTCTAGATATTCCACTACAAAAGGATCACCCCAGCCTGGTATTCTTATATGTACTCCATCTTGATTCTTTGTAGTGCGAGTAACATTGTCATAACTCAACTTCATATTATCAATCTAGTATAAAATTTCAAGGCAAAGTTATGAGCAATAACTGTATTTTAATACCCGATATACTTAGCTTTAAACAGAATTATATCAGCTAATAGGAAACTGTTAAAAATCAATTAAAACTTACCCAACAGTCTATTATAACTGGTACTAGAAGTTCTAGGTTCAACCAAATGTTGAAAAATTCAGATGATACCTTTTCGCATAAATAATGTACCACATTGGTCTTATTGACAATTGCTTCGACTTGACTTCCGCCATCTCCTGGAACTATACATTTTATTCTACTTTAACAAGAATTCACTTCCTGCACAATATTACCATATTATACAAACTGAATTTCTCCTGCATATTTTCTAGTATATTACATCAAGTCCAACCATGAACAAGCACATTATAAAATGTTTATTCATTTTATATCTCCTTTTATGATTTAGTAAAAATCCATATACTTTAAATTCTAGATTTTTAATTTCATATCAGGCAAACAATTCGATATATTAATTATGCATGCATATACTAACATAATACCCAGACGATAAGGAACAAATAATAACAACTATCAATAACTACGTCACTAATAAGAAAATGATAGTAATTAGTACGAAGTGCAGCACAAAATGACATATGCATTGTATTATAGCCACAAGAGTATAATTATTAGAAGTTTTACTGACCGAAAATAACAGGTGATCTTCCACCTTCTCTAAATCGCCGAGAATCTCCAGAATGGATATAGTAAAACAAAAAGACAATGCAAAAGAGCCTCAGGCGCATAATTTATTGGACAGATATAACCTATTATGAAATAAAAACGTTCACCAAAGTTCTTTGTCGTTTCAGAACAGTGGGCGATTGTAGAAGAGAGCAGCGCAATTTATCACTGAACGTAGATTCTGTGTGAAACATTTAAAAGCAGTCTCACCGATGTAAGCACACCTCCAGTCATGTTAACACAAAATAAGAACGTGAGTATGCACATACGTTGTAATGATCAGCTGATATATAATGCGTAAACATCATTGCGCAACTTGTGATGCGTGACGTCATTGCGCAGCCAATCAGAATGCGGGGAAAGTGACAGTCAGCCAATCAGAGAATGTGAAATCGCGTGGTTGAAAGCAACGAATCAACAAAAAACATGGAACAGTTCTGGCAGACGCATTTTGAATCAACGCGTATGTATGTCAACACATATGTATGCATATAATACATAACTACCATTCATCGATTACCTCGCGGACCTACTGCCCTCTCCGACCGCGCGACGTACTAACGGCGGGAGCAGCACGGAATTTGAATCGCCCAAGGGGCAGAATGGATTTCCTAAAGAAAATAAATGTTTATAAAGAAAAACAATTAATGAAAATGATTTAAATATTCGGATATAGAAACGGAATCATGATTTCATGCCTCTTATACATTTACGTTCTACACCTTTCTTCGTATTCCTGGAATAAATGGACACCTGTTAATCATTAAATAAGCATGTAAATGAGCACCCGTAAATATAAGTAAGACTTTTCTAATCCGAGTTTTTTATAAATCAAATCTGAGTAACTTTTATGAATTGAATTCATTCGAACTAGGTATCTAAAACGTAAAATACCATTTTCTATTTCGTATTTAAAATAAGAACAATAAACTATTTTGGATTTCCTATTTTAAATAGATTTTGAATCTATTTCCATTTGAAATTAAATACTTCTAGAGAAATGAGAATATTAGAAAAGAATCGCGAGTCCCGACTCCCGACTCGCGTGTATCATTCTGATCGGTTACGTGGGTCAAGGACACTTCACAATAATATTTAATAATTTTCGTTAACTGTTTTTCTTTATGAACATTTATTTTTTTTAGGAAATCCATTCTGCCCCTTGGGCAATTCAAATTCCACGCTGCTCCCACCGCTAGTACGCCTCGCGGCCGGAGAGGGCAGTAGGTACGCGAGGTACCATCGAAGAATAGCAGTATACACATAAATGTATTGCTCCTATGGATGTCCGGATTGTGCAGGACAGTGCAGGATTGTGCGTAATCGCCAGTCATCTCGTTCTGCCGCGTTTGTGGATCCTTTTTTTCATGAAAAAGTCTCAATAAGCTCACGGAAAATGGGAGCTGTGCGAGTAATCAATGACGACGGACATTTTCACAGTGAACTCCGTAATGCCGGCAGTAAATTGGTCGTCGTAGATTTTACCGCGACCTGGTAAGGCGCTTTGAGGTTATACTCCGAAATTTTTCTTGCGTGTCATCCCGCTAAAGCCCGCTTTAGACGGTGCTTATTTTCCTGTAGGATTGCTTGATTGGAGCCATGCAGGCAGTTGTGTAGGAAGCTGTGCTTAAAAATGACGTCACCACAAGTTGCAATACTGACGTCCTGCAGGTTTTTGGTGACCGAACACATGCTATTTTCCTTGAATGGTTTCGTACAAACTGAGTCGATGAGCGATTCAGGACCTCTGATCAGTTCGCCTCATTGGTCCTTCATTTTATAAACACTATCTGACACTGTATATACAAAGGATTCTTATAGAAATTACATTAAAATAAATAAGTGATCCACAAATCAAATAAGCTTCCTAAATCACTTTTATTTTTTCTATTATTTTGGAAGTAACATAACTAGCCTGTCATTCAGCGAGCAGCTTGCATTGTCTAAAGCCAAACCTGCGCCGCAGTCAATGGCACTGCCAACGAGGCAATCCTGCAAGCAAGCCTGCAGGGAAATAAGCACCTTGTGCAGCGGGTTTAACCTCCTTTTCCTTTTAACAATACGAATTTCTATGATTTATCGTGTTCTTGTTTTTAAATGCATTTTTGCTTCAAATCCTTCTCAATTTGTTAACTTAGCTATTAACTGAGCATAAATTCCATGAATAAAATGGTGCTTATTTTAATTGGGAAAATTTGTAATTAACACTTTACTATTTCGTTTTACCGACATATTAGTTTTTCATTATTTTTTCTGATTAATATATTGATAAACACGTGTAGGAATATATTTGCACCCATTAATTCTGTACATGGATTGGCATTAAACGATTGATCTATGCCTGCAGGTGTGGCCCATGTCAGAGAATAGCTCCAGTGTTTGAGCAGCTTTCTGGGAAATACCCAAATGCAGTTTTCCTGAAGGTAGATGTAGACAAATGTGCAGAAACAGCAGCAATGCAGGGTGTCAGTGCGATGCCAACCTTTATCTTCTATCGAAATCGGAGCAAGTTGGGCCTATGTCAGGGTGCCGATCCATCTGGTCTTGAATTTAAGATCCAGCAATTCTATGGCGGTGGAGGCACTGACGATACTGGAATACCTTCTACTGAACATGTAGGGGAAAAAGAAAGTGTCTATTATCACATCTTTGGAATACTGCTACTTGCTGCAATTATATATTACTGGAATAGGTTTCAATAAGGGTCACTGAAGGTTTAGGGTAATTTCTTGACGAATACTAAGTCAAGTTCTATAGGACTGAAAGGTGGCATTCAAAATATGTTCGGTAACAACTTCGTTTGACTAAGTCGATTAACCCTGTATAAGTGCTCTTAATTTCAAAGCTCTGCATAACTTTCTTTCCTTGGTAGCAAAGTAATGATGTCAGTTTTTTCTGACTGAAACTGAATTATATGTTGTAATCTAAATTAGTTTCTTAATACACTGAAATAGAGAATAATGAAAAAAAAAAGTTTCAAACTACCTTAACTGGTGAGAAAATGATTCAAGGCATAGAAGAATTTTATTGAGGAAAAAACTAAGAAGTATCCTCTGCCATGGAGACAAGTACCTGTATTTGAAAATATTGTATTAACTCATGTATTCCGTTTTTATAAGCTCGATTAAACATTTTAATTCTACAACTTGGAATCGACTTTTTCATTAACTGCTAACCCGTGCCCACTTACCGTTAGATGATGAACAAAATCACGTTTCAAATAGATATAAAAAGTAGAAATTGCTTTTGTTAAAGAAACTGAAAAATAACTAATTAAAATCCTGCCAAAACGAAGCACAAGAAAGTATTACTTTTTAAACATTTGTTGCTGTTAATTAATAATGTCGTAACTATAAATATCACAATATATCTTTCAAAGAAACCATTTTATTTGCTGGTGAAGGAAGAAAGTTAGATAAGCTATTCTGAATTTTCCTTTCTTTGGGAGCAATGAGATTATGATAAATGTTAGATACACGGTGGAATTTATAAACATTTTTAGCGCATTCCTAACAAAAGTAATAAACTTATATAGGAAAGTTAACATTATTTTCGTAAAATCATTTTCAGATGGACCTAAGCACATTTATTGAGAAGGCTCAATGCGAATGCCTGAATGAATCGGATGATCACTCTCTTGCGCAGTGTTTGGAGTCAGAAGATGGCTATCTTGAGAGTGACTGCGACGAGCAGCTTATCATATCAATCAGTTTTAGGCAGGTCGTAAAAGTACATTCACTGAAAATTAAAGCACCATCGGATAAGGGACCAAAGAATATCAAACTCTTCATCAACCAGCTGAGGACCATTGACTTTGACATGGCTGATTCCAACACCAGTATCCAAGATATCGAGTTAGCATTTCACTTAAATGAGAATCAATTTGTTTTATGACTGCCACTGGAGCAAAACGATTTATAATTGATTTCATAATGATTGCAGGATATCACCAAAGGACCTTGAAGAAGGTAATCCGATACTCCTTCGTTATGTGAAATTCCAAAATGTGCAGAACCTCCAGATCTTTGTAAAGGATAACCAGAGTGACTGTGACACCACAAGAATCGATCAAATATCCATCTTAGGTTCACCAATATCAACCACCAATATGGCAGAATTTAAAAGAGTCTCCGCAAAGGAAGGGGAGAGTTATTAATTCGCCGAGTCGAAAGCACTCGTGGACCACTGTCAAGCTGCATTTGTTATACATTTTTAAGATGCTCTGAAGAATTGTTGGCTCATGAATCGATAATAAACCTGGCCTGACTCAATAAAAGACACTGTCAAGCTTTTGGAGTTTGTCACCATTTCGGTTACTTCAGTCTTCGGTAATGAATAAAACACTGAAGAGACAAAACCAGATGATAGTTCACAGAAAATTCATAACCGCCCGTTACATTTTTTAACATTATATTAATCTGTCACCTGATAGAATGTGATTTCACGACAATTGTACGTAATTTGGTACAATTTAAAGATGACACTGGATCTAGGGCAATTACAAAATTTTAAAAGACTTTAGTAACTCGATGTAAGATTAACCTCACTGCAGTAAAACTTGGATGAAATATGACTTGAAATGTAAGAATACGTTTTCTGTGAACTAAACATGCATTAAAAGATAATATAATTGTTGTATTGAAAAAGTATACATAAATAAATTAACTGAATCACAATGAAATAGTTTTCAATGATATTGAGATACCTTCCAAAGCTATTTATCTGCTTATGTGTCAACATTAACCATAGGAAAAAAAAAATCTGAAAATTTTATTTTTCAGATCTTGTGGTCTTGTCAGATTACAGTAGTGAAACTTGATTAACCACTTCCGCTATAAAGACGTGCCACGCACGTCGAGATGCTTTTGTTCCAAAACTGCCAGCGACATGTATACCACGTCGTTAGGCATTTTGTCGCAGAAACAAAATCGACGTGTCCGGCACGTCGGCTAACAGTTGGATCGTTCATTATTCGAGCTACAGTTCCAGAGTGCACGACATCGCGTAGCGTTTCAGAATCGATAGGGTATGTTGTACGGATGTTATACCGCATGTTATATTGTAGAGCGCGGCACGGCAACCGAAAATTAAATCGTAGCGCAAGTGGTTAACTCAGGGTTGGTACAAGTTTTCTTTCATAATCCACTTTATTAGATGATAAATCATTTACTAATGATAATATTCACAATAGTAACAGCTCCAAAGAATGACAATATCTTTAATGCCAATCTTCGATCTCTCAAGAACTAATAAATTGCTTTCATCTGCAGACCAAGATCTTTATACTCGATTATTAGAATCGAGCTCCAAACCTTCCAGGTGGAAGCGGAGTTCCATCGTCTTTAAGACCTGGTAGAGCATCAGGAAATTGAGGTGGTTCTCTATATTTCTTTGGTCTATTCGTATCATGCACATGCATTTCTGCATAGTAATTCATATCTGGCCTCTCTACATTAAGCTTCTCCAAAACACATTTATCATATACTGCCTGAGTTTTACGGCATCTGAGAAAAAGAAGAATAAGATATATTGATCACTTCTTTTTATAATAATAAGACTTTAAAATATATATCAAATACTATCAGTATTTTAAAGGAACAAAATACTTACGGGTAATATTGCATATTGGCAGTTTCAAAGTCGATGCAATGTGCATACTGCTCAAACTCTTTACGGCAATGCTTTTTTATTTTTCGCAGAAACTCTAGACCACAAGCTGTGACGGCTTTCCCTTCGTTCAAGCATGCCGTAGGATCATCTTCTTCCTTCTTGCACAAGAGATATTCCTAACACCAAGAAATTATTTGTAACTATGAAAATATAATACATGATCAAATATTAATTTGCTTTCCATTCTGTTGGAAATTGTCACTGAAAATAATCAAGAAAAATTCTCCCCTTTATTTCGAATGAATATTAAAATTAAAGTTGTTAATGATATAGTAAAATGAAATCAACATAAAAGTTAGGTTATAGATCACGATTAAATCATTACGTAACCCTTAATTTCCTCTTAAAATAAATAAGCTTGAAATCATGAATGAGAACAATTACTTAACAACAAAGTTGTAGATTTGTTGTTAAAGGACTTACGTTTCTTTGCCACTCGCAATATTTTCCGAACTGAAAGGCCGCGGCTAACAAAACAGGCGATGACACATTAATCTCCTCCACGGTGAGCTCCTCCTCGGTGGGCAATTTAGTGTGTTTTGTTACAACCATCTTATACTAATTTTCGGTAAATCAAGGTATTTAACTAGAAACCATCAGAAAATGAAGGAACCCACAGCTCTGGTTCACCGAAGAGGAAGTGGTACGCAGATTGTTACACGCACTCTTCAAAATGTTACAAGGGGAAGACTTAATAACGGCAGTTGGGCGAACTAAACGTAAATTATCAAGGCCATCTAGACTACAATAAATGAACATTGTACGGATTACCCCAATGCAATCTGGTATGAAATAAATAAGTCCGGTTCCACAATCCTAATTAACCGGAGTTTAAATGATTTACACAAGTTTAAATCTCGTTTAAACCAGTTAAACTTCGGTTAACAAGAGTTGTGGAACTAAACCACAGAATTTCGAATGCAAGGAAGTATATACGTTTCTTTGATTTCGTTTCGTAAGACATAATAGCACATCTACTGGTCGAACAACGTTTTGCTTTATTTTTACTCCTCAGGATAACTGAATGATGAACAAGAGTCCATGAGGTCAGACACTTTATGATCTATTGCCAAAAGTGATGCACACTTGGGTTGGTATTGCTCCACGATATCCAAAAGAGTATCTGGATATCCAGGAGAATAATATCTGAAATGGAAGTGAAAAAATACACGTTACCGGATTTATTTTTTATTTTATGAGATAGTGTATATATATACGCTGCAGTGTTGCAACTTTTTCCTGTCACTAGGCTATGACCAACCGTATCCACTTATCGATTCATTCGATTGGTTGAGGCCTAGTGGAAAACCGGAAATTTGGGTATTGCAATCGAACCAGTTGTTCCCGAAACCTTCCGTCATTTGCATTGTTATAATTGTCATTTCAGAGTACATTTTGCAGTAACTATTATTGAACACTATCCTCAGTCTATGACATTACAGATTACGTTTACGTATATTTTTGTTCGACGGCCCAGCCGTCCAAAAATTTAAGAATCGGCAAACGTGAATTTTGTACATCATTTTTGGGGGAATGATAAAAAGTGTGCTTCAATAAACGATTAAATGTTAACTGGCTGTTTCGGCTTATTGTAAGTATATAATGAATTGCATTTCTAGTTTTTAACGGAGTAGTAATTATAATCTTAGTTACAGTATAGAACCCAAAATTGTAAATGGATAATTCCCTGTCAATTAAGTAAATTTATAATTTGCAATGGGCAATTGATGATTTTTGTTTTTCTCCTAATACACCCTTTTATGATATTTATTTATATCAATGGAAGTAAAACTGAAAACCTGTTGTGCATTATAACAACCTGTTTTTGGCGACTAGATGTAACAGTCGATAGTGACATTAAAAGTCATTTTCATTAACTAAACTATTTTTTAAATTTACATTTGATAAAGAGTATATCTACCTGACGATTTCCTCAGGGAAGCAACAGTTGATGATCGTAATATACTCGTGAAGAGCTGATCCAGGTTCAGCTTCGAGTTCTTGAACTTTCTTTAGTCCCCCAGTGGTCACAAAGAGGCGACGCGCTCTTGGGACATTTGGCAAGATCTGAAATAAGACAGGATGTTATTAACATTTCTAATATAATAGAACAGAGATATAGAATCTTGGAATTAAAACATTAAAGTGTATATTTTGAGTCTTGTGATTTGTGATTATTTATGAAACTCAAGTATGGGAACAAATAAGATCTTTTCGAGATTACAAAGCACACGCAATTCATGGCTGATGACGTCGGTTTCATTTAACACCCATTTTCAAGAAGAACAGGCACAACGCTATCTTTTCTATTTCTTTGAACAAATAATTCAATTCTGTATGACGTTTAAAATTACTTTAGAAGAATCATTTCACATGAAGAAAAGTATTTTTATGAAAAGATACGTGCACACTGGATGCTATTTTTCTATGTCAGATGTTTTTGGAAATAAGAAATAAGAAATCAATCCTAGGAAGCTCGAACATTTTGGTGAAATGTAGGGTAAATCATAGTAACGAATCTTCTTGGGGAAATTAAATTTAATCCAAAATCAGGCTAAAATGCATTAAAAATTAGGAGAGATTGAAACTCTCCCAATGACCTCGTCTCCGCTATTGAGAATGCGTGCACCAGAACACAACGAAAATAAGGTGATCCCGGTAAAAACAAATTCCAGGCGGGGGTGTGGTGCTATTTTCACGTCGACCTGTTGACGCTCGAAATCTTGGCAGAGCTCCGGACACCCTCAACTCCTCTTCTGCGACTGCAGCGTCCAAATATACTCGCTGCTTTGAAAGCTTTTACGCTTTTAAGTACCGCAGACATTCCTGTCAGTCTATTTTTCAGGTGGTTCGCTCATGGAGGTCCTCAGCGTGGCAGTTCGATAATCCGAGGTAGACTACAGTGCATCTCACTGAGAAGCACCCAGTGTTCAGCAGCATTTATTGCAGCCTAAAGATGTGGATACGTTATCAACAGGGAACCTTCCCATATACACCATCTAACCATTGACTTAGCGAAGGAAGCTAATAGTCTTGAATCATTAAGAGGCGTACAGTGATATCCCAGACTCAGCTTAGTCTTTTGGGTGATCAGTTTGTATCTGATTCTACGATGATCGGTAAGTCATATAGTTCCTATGGTCCTAGTGAATGGTTTCAACATTCTTAAATAATGTTTGTTTTTAGACATGTGAACGGAGAAGATTGTCAGTGTTCCAATGTAGAAGATGTCTTGCTAAACTGGTTACAGTGACATGTGTTGGGACTTAATGTGCAAGGTTCGTAAGCCTGGTCATTTTGGGATGATCTCAAGTTTGGTTCACTGCAACTTTGTGCTTGAAAGTGTAGAAGAGGAGTGTAGTCATCGAGAGTGGAAATTGTTGCACCAGATCTCTTGCAAAGACTTAGCGTATAATGTTTTTATAACATAAAATGAGAAGTCTAACAACTGGAACCGTTGGAAAAGTTACAAGACAGTTTGCCAGTGTCACTCGTAAGAGATGACCGAGCATGTTATCTTATTTGATCACCTTGATAGTTTGTCCATTACCGAGAGAGGAGTGCCATGTTTCTACTGAATCAACATTTCCCTTCTTTTTTTTCTAAAGATACGAAGCAGTGGTTTGATATTAAGTAAGTGAAAATTGATCAAGTTCAAGACAGGACTGCTTTGAGGCCCTAAAATAGATCTAATTACGAAAAAAGATCAGAGCCATTTTAAGAGCATTTATACATTTTTCTAAACAGCATACTTGTCATAAGAGTACTAATGAAAGTTTAGTAGATCGGCCAGGATAGTATTTGAGTTAAGGATCTTCCGAGCCAATCTAAGAGTATCAATCATGCCCTGCTATTGCAACTATATTTCTTAATGCCACTACTGCAAGTCTGAAAATATTGTCAATCAAATTAGACTACATGGAAGTGAATTTTTACAACTTCTGTAAAGGAAATATACATCTTTATGTCTTAAGGAAGAACACAAGTTAAACGGTACATGTATGATTTCATCGAAAGGGAAATTTCCTGCAAGGTACGAGTTTGTAAAAGGACTGGCTGTAGTGCGGAGTAACCAACACCCAAAGAAATACTTTGCTACCATCTTTCTACGAACCGATGTTCAAATCCTTGGGTAAACCCAGGACTTAACAGAAGGTAAATTGACGCAGGAAGGAGATACACTCATGATGATGACGCAATCTTGTTGCGATAACAAGTCATCATTCTGAGATAAAACACCATTTTAAGTGCGTGAGCATCTAGCAGGGGTACTATAAAAAGAAACTGCGACGTTTCCGGAGCAGTGCCAAAGGGTACTACGTGGTGTGTGGAAATGTGCGAAAGTGGTTACTGTTTTATCGCGAGAGTGAGTTCATTGACTGGATCCTAGGATGTAAAAAGTGTTTCTGCATATAGTGTAGCAGGGGAAGGGTCCAATTCTGAAAATTTCATTGAGGAATTGCTGTTTAAGCCAGTGTCTTAGGGAAGACTGTCAGATTCAAGATGATAAACAATCAGCCTAGAGTGATCTTGAATCCTGGGGAGGCCCATAATCACCAGCCAGTATCAGCAAAACCTTCCGTGGTCTCTGTGTCTAGCATAGACTCCGATGTGAGCGACCGGAGGGACGTTAGGGAGGCACTCTATTCCGGTATCTTCAGGAGACACCGGAAGACCATCTTGGTTCTAGGCAGCTTCCTGAAAATGCTCAGGGTGAATAGAAATGTGAACAACTATGCTAGCATTAAGGCGAATGACGAGGCGGATGAGTAGAATTAAGATTAAGTATAAGGCTGCGGAGGTTTCTTTTCATTGGCATCTTTAGGAAACGCTGCAGAACCCTCGGGCACATTGTATCATGTCAGTCCTTCGTCGTTTCTTCGAGATGCCCAAAGTTACTAGAGACATGGAGGTTATGTTAAAATTACCAGTGATTCATTAAACAGAAAAATTAAGGTTAGAAGATAAGGTAAGACAGGAGAACTGGAACTATTCCAGGTATGAAGAGATCTGGAACGTACAAATTTATGTCAACTTTGGTAGGCATGGGAAGAATCTTATCAAAAGAAACTGCTTCAACTTTTCGAGTAAATGTGTGTTAACTTTGATGAACTTTCATCTGGAACTACAGTCAGAATAGCTTATCCAGATTGACTGACATTTTGCAGAGATCTTATTTAAACAAATGAGACTGAAAAATTCTGTGCAGACTTATTTCCATTGATTTTCAATGAGACGTTCATCGAGAGAGATCGATTATCATCCAACGCGCCTCGAGGGTGTTTCTTTGGAAAAGACTGAAATTCTATATCATTTTCAGAGCTAATTCGACAAATTTGAGTAAAATATTTCTTCCGAAGAAAGACTAAAAGTTAGAGCTTTTGTCTGGACTTTTTCAGTAGCTATCTAATGTGAACTTTCAAATTGTTTTCTGTTTTCATTCTTGGTGCGTACTCACTTTGGTTTTCGTCGAAAGTCAAGATCACGAAAATCTACTGCTTAAAACATATCTCGTTGAACCTAATAAATGCATTTGCTTGGCAGCTCTCTGATAGTAGAAAATCTATTCATTTAGTACGTTTCTATAAAAAGAATACACTTTACTTAATAACATTTAGGTTTTTGTACGTTGACAGTTCTGGGGACGAAAGGTTTTAAATATTCATACAACTATTGTACTTTGAGCTGTCAAGAGTTTAAAAAGTGGACGGACATTGAGAATGTACTATAATTGTTATACACTTATAAGAGGCACTGCTTAATATGTTAATCGATACACAAGGAAAATATGAAGCAAGCATAGATATATGTATCTAAAGAAAAATACAGCGCATCGTTCGAATTCGCCCTTGTTAAAATACATTAGTAAGCCCGACAAGAAGTAAAGTATGTTTTGATACACGTTTGTGAATCGCGACGCGTCTTTTGTACACTTTTGCAAACTTTTTGTATAGGAGCATCGAATTCATAGAACATGAGCTTCCTCGAGCATTTTCGAATCCCAAAGACTTATTCAAACGAATGGACTCGGACGTATACTTTATATGATACCGCAAAATAACACCGCTTAGATTTTTGTAAAAATACGAAAGATAAAGACCAACCCGGTCCTCGTCTTCCTTATCTCTAGATAAAGGAAAAAGATCAAAAAGTCACGGAAGAAAAGAGCCTTAGGTGACTTTCGGCCCACCTTGTACATGAACTCGTTGAAATGAAATGGTAACAAATGACTTTATCAAAGATTATTCAACTTCGATTGTTACCGCGAAGTGGCACTGCTTAAAAATGTTTTCAATAATCCAGGAAAACCTCAACAAAGGGAAAGTATTTAGTGAGGAAAATGGTTGTACCGCTAGAAATTACATTCATCAAAATATACCGATGAAAAGTTACATTCGAGTTTTGTACATTTCATTGCATACTACGTGTCGTGTAGATTTTTTTTTTATAATAAGTGCACTTCTTTGTAATAAGCATTTGGGTAATGGCATTGAAAATTGTAGACTATGAGCTTCCTCGACATTACCAAATCGCCAAATCCCTAATCAGTGGACTTATGACGATCTTACGTGAATTACTATCACAAGGCGCTACTGTTAAATACATAAATAAATAAATATATATATATACATACGATATTTAATTTTGAAGATACTGTAATTTATCATTTCCCGACACTTTAACAAAAGATGGACATTGTAAACATAAGATTGAAATTTTTCTCCACTGAAACAGTGCATAAATTATTCGTTATTTCATGCAGTACGAAAGCAGAATATGTTGGATTATGGTCAATTAGACGAAGTAACCCTGAGGAATAAAATTAATTTAAAGAACCTTTGCATCGCGTTATTCTTATCATTTTACAATGAAAGGACATAGAATCCCATCGTCTTTTGCCAGTTTTCTCCGTTTCGGATAATGCTGAATATTTTTTCTGCTTTCTCATTTCAGAAATACTTCGATAGATTGCACGCTCTGAGCCGAGTATTCGTTCTGATTGCACTGCGACTTGAGCGCATCATAAGACCGGAGTATTGTTAAATCAATCTAAGAAGTAGTTGCACTCTTTTACTGTGAGCCATTGTTGCACACCTCTTGCCAATGAACTCAAGGAAATCCACGAATCTCCTACATGCTGTTAAACCATCTACGTCGCATTGTTACATTGCTTAAAATTATTTAGTTCTAAGTTCACCGTTTACTATAAGGATGTAATTCATCGAAAGTGTATTTTTCATTGTTCCAAACCTATTTGATTTGATCATATCATTTAGTTCTACCGCTTATTAAGGGAGAAATTATTTGTATAATATAATATGGATAATGAATAATAATTAATGTAGATCGATTTTTAGTTTCGTAAATTACTCGGTAATTCAATTACATGTTTTCTTTTGTTTTAGTACGTAATTTAGCGCAAATTATTTTTTTATTAAGCTGCAATAAAACATCTCGGGTTTTTTGTGTTTAATTCTTTAAATGGAACAATCCCTCAAGTGAAATACTTATCCTTTCTCAGCATTGATACTTCCCATTTATAAATAGAAGTAAAATGTACAATATCCAGGCTTTAATCCAAAATTCGATATCATGGTATTTACAAACTGTGAAAGAAAGTTTCTTACCTTACTAAACTGTCCCAATATATACTTGAGAATATTTGGTGGTGCATCCTGCAACAGAGGCTCTAAAGCTTCAATGTGCATGCACTTTTGCATAACTTGCTTCAATGTGGCCTTACACTTCGCCTTCAGATCCTCTGAACTCCTCGGATCACTGTACATCTATTAGCGACTCATATGTTATTAATGCCAGAATTTTCTGGTAGTGTTTCTCTCTGAAATATGTGACCATGAATACCTTTAACAAGACTGGGAAGATATTGGCAAGAGCAATCGCTTTGGCATGCTCCGAAGTATGTTTGCCAATTTGTCCGATAGCCCAGGCTGTTACAGCACGCATATGGTCTTCCGTCTCATCTTGTAGGACCAGTGCTAACTGTGTAACACCCTGTAAAAAGAAAAATACATTGCTTTAATTACATGCATCAATTTTACTATTGCAAATGACCTTTGATCACTCTATGAATGTTTTACCATCCAAAATGTTTATTCATTATTAAGGATTCATTAGGATAATATGATAGTGTTCAATACTTCGGATCCGATAACAGCCGTGGCCAACTGATCGGAATGGCCTGCAATATATCCAAGAGCTATGATAGCGGGTAAACGCGTCGAGCTGTTCGATACTTGAATAAGCTTCAGAAGAGCACCAATCCCACCTGTGTTCACGACGAGTTGGGCCAGCTGGAAATATCAGCACACATAATTTTATGCTCTGAACACTCTTAACTGTAATGTTTGATAGAACGGAGATTTTAACGACTGCCTTAGACTGAATAGAAGTGATTTATCGGCGGTGTGAGAAATTACTTCAAGAGTGTGTTTGCAAATCTCTCTAGTGAGGATGGCAGCGGCACGATTCACGAGCTCATCAGGGTGGGCCATGTGTAGCAGAACATCTGGAAAAATTTCTGCCTCGACGAGTATCTCTGCCAATTCTATAGAATGCTTTGCTATGCTTCCCAGAGCCGTGAAGGCTTGCCGCTAAAATATAATCAATGTCAAAAGACTGTTCCGAATCCTTGAATTACTTCAAGATAAAAAGATACCTTCCGAGCGTACCTTCAGCTTCGGGTCGGAATTGGAAATGGCCTTGACTAAGAAAGGGATGGCTCCAGCATCGACCACTGTTTGGGCCAGTTCGATTGAATGTTTACTGATATCACAGAGTGCCGACGCACTGATTTGTTTCAGGTATAGCTCAGGTTCTTGTAGGCAAAGAACCAAAAGAGGTACGGCACCTGATGATAGACAAATTGCATTAACCTAATTGATTCATTCCGAATGAATCATTTTTCTACAAGTTTCATCAAATGTATACACTACATGACTAGCTTGAAACAATTACCAACGTTAACGATGGTTTGAGCTAAATCCTTGTTGTCTCTGGCAATATATCCGAGAGCCCAAGCAGCAGCTTCCTTAACTCCGGGATCAAAGTCTTCCAAGCAAGTAACCGTTGCCTCCAACCCACCACTTTGTACAACAATTCCTGCCATTTCTGGCGAGTGCTTCGCTAAGGCACGTAGAACGAACAGGGCAGCTTTCTTGTAAAACTTCTACAATTAATCGATCCAGGTGAACATTAATATCCCCGCAGATGAAGAGTATACAATCATGATTATATTCAATTGATAATATTCTCTTTTACATCTTCCAGAAGCTTCGAGGCGTACTTACGAATGTCGTACATTTTGTTTCTCAATGCCTTTCAAGAGCTTCGGGATGACGTTCCTCCGTATTACTGCCTGTGCCATTTTACTGTCATGATTGGCAAGTCTGCCCAGGGCAACTGCAGCGGTGTGCTGAACAGAAGGCATCACATCTGACAAAAGTGGTTTCAGCAGGTCCAGGGCACCGGCACGTTCCAGACATTCGACGTTATGTGGCCTGGAAGCTAGGTCTGCCACAGTTTGCACGAACGTAATTCGAGCTTTCTGATACTGACTGAAAACTATAAAATCATACCAAGGTTTAAGATAATATAATCATTATATATATGTGAAAATATTTATAAAACTTTTGTCCAAACTATTTAAAACTTTAACCCGTGATTGTGGAGGTCCTAACGAAGGACTTCAAACTCCCGAAATTTCATTCTTCTAAAAGTATCTATCTCGGGCAAGAGTCCAAAAATATATTTTTATCGTGAATTGAAATATCGCGAGTTTCTAGACTCCATAATCACGGGTTGAATATTCAAATAATTATAAGCACCCAGTTTGGAGAAAAGTTTTATAAATATTTACACGTTTCATGTATACAGAATGACCCTTTTATTCGACCAAAAGCTGTCGTGAAATTTGAATCTGCCGCGTATTGGCGCGCGCAGCTCGTCGAGATTCAAACTTCGGGAGTTTTGGCGCGCCTCGTCGGCCGGCTAGGTTCGGGCCCACTCGGGAGCGTTCGGGAACTCTCGGCTCGCATCTCTCTCTCTCTCTCCCTCCCGCGCCGAGAGTAGCGCAGATCTTGCGAGATCTTTCAGATTCTCCGTGGACGTCCTTCTGGATCTTTCGAGAAGTTTCCGCCAGTCCCCCAGCATGTTTTGACTCGTCATCTTGCGCCAGCGCGGCCCGGTACGTATCCGCAGTCCTCTCATGCGGTTCCTCGGACTCGGACGCTGACGTACGAGCTCCTCCGCGATTCCGTCGACGCTTTTTTGGTTATACTCTCGGTGGGATCGCCCCCGAGTGCAGCGCGACCATAACCTCTACGACGTTCTTCCTCGCACAGAACTCGCGTGCTCTTCCTGCTTCTCCTCGAACGCTAATCGCGGATTACGCAACGCAGGATTCTGCAGGATTCTCGACAGGATAAGGAACGTTGAAATCCTGGAGGCGAATTTCGGACGAGTTGTTCAACATGCGAACGGATTAAGACTGGGAAACTTCTGGAGAAGACGTCGGTTTAGGTAAAGATTCGGTTTCAAACTGGAAGGGGTAACCTAGAAATTTGTTGCTAGGTTTTCATGGAGTTATTAAATTACTTTTAGAGTACGTTTCATGTAATGTATACAGTGTATTTCATGTAACGTCATTTCATCGCTGTCGGATCCTTATCGGAGCGATAGAACGTTAACTAAGAGGAGTAGAATTTGCATCGTTTTAGCCTTTTAGTCACTAGTTTAAGGTTTATATTGTATGAAAATCTTGAATATGTAATTTAACTTGATAACTGCAGAATTTACTGTATAAAAATGAAAGAACCTGTTAACAAAGACTTCCTTTTATTCCAGGGGTTTCCATTCGAGGACGAAGACTTCGGTAGCCACGGTGACGTGAAGAGTCGACTAGACGAGTTGGCTTCGAGGCACCCTGAGTTTGCGGAGCACCTTCTAAATTCAAGCTGGGACGAGCCATTTGGCACAAGACGCAGTCGTGCCAATCGTCGACACAGTTCGGTCAACCCTCGCAACAGTCCTGTCAACCGTAGGCCACGGTACTGTTTTTAAATTCATTTTAAAAATAAGTAGAATTTAAATTCAAGTAACATAACCAAGAATATTACAGTACTTTGTAAAATCCCTAGAGAATTTAAGAAAATTCAGGGGAACTCTGAGAATTTATGTTTTAAATTAATTCTCAAATGTAATTTACTCAAATCTTTTATTAGTTTGTTATTTTGATATCAGGAATTTCATACATTTTCTTTGCCTTGGATGTAAATATTCGATATGGTCTACTTGGCTTTACCGAACCCCTAAACAAGGAGTTTATTTAAATAATGAGGATATCGACAATAAAGATCATGATTTTAATCGTGATTAAAAATCACGATTCTTGTTAACGACCCTGAAAAAGATATTAAATTCTCATAAGATCGAAAAGCGAATTTTGTCATCGATTATATATTCTTAGTCTAGGTTAGGTTACCAGAATAATATAACGCAGTAAATATTCCAGGCAACGAAATCGAGAAAATCCAGAAGACGATGCCTTCAGCGAAGCCAGTGGAAGCAGTATAGCAACCACAGGCAGCGAGGCAAGTTCCCACGGAGAAGCTGAACCTGACACTCGTTACAGTGGTACGAACCTAGTTCCGGAAGAGAGTAGAAAATACAACCCTAGATACGAGGCTAGTGACTTTACAAGAGGAGGTGGAAAGGGAGACCCGAGAGCTCGCAGGGAGAGCGAGCCTGACACCCGTTACAGGAGTGCCAATTTCAACCCCGAAGAGAGACACGAGGGTAGTGACCCTAGGGACTTTTCAAGAGAAGCCGAAAGAGGAGTCTGGAACGTCCGCAGAGAGAGCGAGCCTGAAACTCGATACAGGAGTGGCAATTTCACTCCTGAGGATAGATTCGATCCCAACAGATACGAGGCTAGGGACCCTAGGGACTTTTCCAGAGGAGTCCCGACCTCCCGCAGAGAAAGCGAGCCTGAAACTAGTTACAGAAGTGCCAACTTCCCTCCGGAAGAAAGTTTCCCCCCGAGCGCCCCAGAGGCTAGTGACCCTGGTGACTTTTCAAGCGAAATTCCCAGAGAATACTCCACCTCGCAGCCCGGGGCCGACCTGGAGCCGAGGACCTGGTGCAGCACGCTGTTCATCCCGGAGCGTCGCGGCAGGGGTGCCACCCCCAGGCGATACGAGTCGAGCAACACCGCGGACCTCCCCAGGCAAGATTGCCAACCTGAGATGAATCGCAACCAGCGGTCGATGTCGGCTCCTCCGGAGAATCGGGCGAGCAACGAGCCTCAGCAGTCTCAGCGTTTCGTCTCCAGGGTGGACATAGCGCCCCGGCATCCCCAGGGCGAGGGCGAGGGCGAGGGCGCCGCTTCGCAGACCTCGAAGCAACCTCCACCCTCGCCCCCGCCGCCGCCCTCGCCGCCCTCCAACGTCCGGGTGATCCCGATCCACGTGGAGGGTCGGGACGAGCCCTTCGTCCCCAGGAACGTCCCCCTCGAGGGGAGTTTCCCCAGGAGGGAGCCCTCGCCTCCCGCCTCGCATCCCTTCCACAGGCCAGGGCACTTCGGACAGCACTTCGGGGGGAGGTCCCACCAGTGGCCGCCCCACTTCCAGGACAGCTTCTACCAGGACCAGGCGCCCTTTGAACAACCGCGGTGGAGTGGCCAGGATCCTAGGAGCTATCAACAGCCCAGGAGGGACCAGGAGAGGTCCTGGGGCAAGCAACCGCAGCATCCCCAACAGCATCAGCATCCTCAGCAGCCTCAACAGCCCCAGTACTATCCGGAGTATCAACAGCAGCAGCATCAACAGCATCCGCAGCATCAACAACACCCTCAGCAGCATCCCCAGCAGCATCAACCCCACCAACAACACCCGCAACAGCATCCGCAGCAGCATCAACCCCAGCAGCAGTACCAACAGCATCCTCAGCAGCGCCAGGAACAACCTCAGCAATACCAGCACCGCCAGGAACAACCTCAACAGCCTCAACAGCCTCAACAGTACCAGCAGCGCCAGGAACAACCGCAGCAACAAAAGGAACCTCCCAAACAGAAGCCCGTCGTCAAGGACCCCCTCGAGAGGGTCGCCCTGGTCCAGAGGGAGGTGGACAGCCTGACGGAGCAGGTCCGGGCCTACCAGGGCTCCTCCAGGAAGGACAAGCAGTACATCTATCTGGACGAGATGCTGACGAGGGAGCTGATCAAGCTGGACGACATCGAGACCGACGGCAAGGAGAACGTCAGGCAGGCCAGGAAGGACGCCATCCGGAGCATTCAGAATTGTATAAGCATGCTGGAGTCGAAGGTGCCGCTTCCTGGTCAGCAAAGTCAGCCACAGGAGCAACGGCAGGAGCCGGGGAACGAGGAGGGGGGAGGAAAACGGGAGCTGGACTCGGAGACGAAGTGCAAGGAGGGGGAGGACCTGGTGCAGGGTGGGCAGACTGCATCTTCGGGGACCTCACAGACGGGGGATGGGGAGGATCGCCAGGAAAAGGGGCAGCAGGAGGAGGTGCAGAGGGTCCAGGATGGGGAGCTGGGGAATCCTCAGGGGGAACGGAGTCTGGAGGCGAAGCAGGAGGTGGCAGATCCCCGGCAGGACCAGGATCTTCCGCAGGATCCTCAGCAAGGTCTTCGGCAACAGAAGGAGCAGCAGGATGAAGGGAGGCAATCGGACAATCCCCAGGAGGAGAACGTCCATGCCGTGGCGAAGGTCCCGGATACCTCCAAGTCCCCGAAGACCACGAAGAGGACGAAGAAGAAGAAAGCCGACCAGGTCGCCAGCTCCCAGGAGGCGATTCCACTACCAGGGCCTGATTCCAAGGTTTAGGACGATACTTAAACCGAGCTGGGGCGGACTTTTGGTCCCGGGGGACTTTGATCTGGGGGTTCGCTTCTTCTTCGATCGATGCTTCGAGGCACTTCATCTTCTATTAATGCTACGATGCACTTCATCTTCTATCGGTGCTTCGAGGTACTTCATCTCCAATCAATGCTTTAAGGCACTTCGTCCCCAATTAATGCTTCGAGACACTTTATCTCCCATCGATGCTTCGAGGCACTTCATTTCCAATCAGTGCTTCGAAACACTTTATCTCCAATCGATGCTACGAGGCACTTCATTTTCAATCAGTGCCTCGAGGCTCTTCATCTCCATTCGATGCTTCGAGGCACTTTATCTCCAATCAATGCTTCGAGACACTTTATCTCCAATCGATGCTACGGGGCACTTCATTTTCAATCAATGCTTCGAGGCACTTCATCTTCAATTACTGCTTCGAGGCACCTCATTTTTAATCAACGCTTCGCACTTCAACATCACGCAACTACTTCGAAGACGACGCCGATGACCCCCCGACGACCCCCTGGATCCTGGGTCGCCCTAGATCGATCGATAATAACTTATTATAAATATATACATATATATTTATATAAATAGGCGCGTATACATATGTATAGAGAACCGCAATCGGAATCGCTGACTCTTCGGCCCGAGGCCGAGAAGCCATCTTGGTCCCTCTTCAGGGTTGATAAATATCTGAAAGGGAGTCATTTTGATCCCTTTTGAAGGTTGATAACTAACTGAAAAAGAGCCATCTGGGATCCTCTTCAAGATTTATAACTAATTGTAGAAGTCATATTGTCGCCTCTTCAAGGTTGATTACTACCTGAAGAGGAACCATTTATACNTGCAGTTAATCCGAGTTTAAGGGTCGATCGAGATGCTTAGGATCGAATCTGCATATTTATTACTGCGATGGGTACGCGATTTACTGGATCCAGACTCAATAAATCCGGGATTTAGAAGTGCGATGGAAATGTTACTGGGACATGAGCTCAGTTTACACCGATCACTTGGTACGCTGTCCAAAGGCGTAGTTTTATTAAACTCGCAGTGTAAACGATGACGTTCCAAGGCGGTACGATACTCACATTTTGAGCGAACCTTCCTAAGACTTTACAGAGCCGTTTACACCGATGGTTTAATAAATCCACACCTTAAATATGCATACCAAGTGATCCTGATGATGTGAACTAGGCCACAGATGCTCTTCCCGTAATTTTCACGAATTAGCGATCGCGTTCAAACGCAGAAATTCGGCGAAGTTTCAAGACCCGTTTATACGATGTGGGATGTACAATGCAGTGATGGCGAAACTGTTGTGTAATTCGAGGTTTAATTGACAGTTTAGCGACGACTCGGCGAGCGGTAAAGTGTTAATTAGCCGTTTGTATCGTGTAATTAAAGGTTCATCGATTGAAGCTTGGGTGTGTACGTGTTTTCCTGTCTACCGAAACGTATCCCTTTATATTCCTCTCGTTTACACTAATCCATTTTCTGCTAATTGTGTCAAAAAATTATATTTCATGAATACCCTAATGGTCATTGCGCGATTAATAAAATCCTGAATCTATCTATAGAATGACGTACAGTGGCAGACATTAATGCCTTCTCTTGTATTACTGGCAACGCTATATTCGCCGGAGACAAAAACACTTTTCTCCACCACTGTACATTATTCAAAGATCCCGGACCCATTTGTGGAACGATGTACAGTGGCGGACATGAATGCCTTCTTTTTGTATACCGGTAGCACTACATTCATTAGAAAGACATTTTGTTATATTGCTCTTAAATTCTAAAGAATTGAAAAACCTTATTCGGCAGCTTTCGGCGGCGTTCGGCGGCGCTCGGCCGCGCTCGGTAGCGCTCGGCAGCGCTCGGCCGCGTTCGGCCGCGCTCGAAAGCTCTCGACGGCGCTCGGCAGTTCTCGGCACAGTAGCCGGAGCTCGCTTCTCGGAAGCGCGTCTACCGGTGTAATAATTTTCACAGTTTCCACCCACGCGAACGGTCGGCCCCGGCACCCGAGCCAACGAGACCACTGGGTCGCCGAGTATGTCGCGTTATTCCTGGACAATTCTTAAGGCTGACTTTGACATTCGATTACATCTAATGCGGTTAATCATCACTATCAAAGTGAACCCCAAGACTTTATATCGAATCTTTAAAATTCATTTCGACGTTTGATAATATTGAATACGCGTTCCTATCGACATAAATGCTCGTCTTTTGTATTTCTCAGGTTCTAAACCCCAACTGCGATGCCACGGTGTTTTTTAACAATTCCTAAAGCTGATCTTAAACATCCGTTTATATCGGCACATAAAAGAAAACCTAACCTTTACGAAATATAACTTTGGTGTTAAAAAATTGATCATTGAGCAGATTTCCTTGTTTCTTCGGAAATTTACGCAAATCCGGTCCTGGGGAATTTGAAGTGGATCTGTAAACTTCCTGTAAACACTGTCTGGTGAAAGAGGAAGGAAATCATTGAGCAGATTTTCTCCTTTCCTTTATTTACCCAAGTCCAACGCGGTGCGCAGTAACTCGAGAAAAATCTGGCAAAGTGGCGACCGACGCGCAGGCGCCTGGGAGAGAGAGAGAGGGCACGCGGCCGGGAGTAGGGGAGCGAGAGAGAGGGAGATACCCCAGAGAGGGGATCGGCACGCCGGGCTTCGCGCTTCTTCTTCTTCCCTCTTCAGTACTCGATCCGCGTCGATTTTGAACCAACTCTCTTTGCTGTTCTCTCCTTATCTCGGGAACGGTTTTTCTTCCTTCGTCTTATCATCGTGATCGTGAGTTCTCTCTCCCTTTATTTATTATGCGCTCCATAAATTATTATAAACCTGTTTTCCCCTCGAGAGAAGAAATTCAATGTACAAAGTGTTTTTAAAAATATTTTCTTCGTGAATTTAACATTTTTAAACATTTCTTTCGTGAATTTAAAATAGTTAAATATTACGTTTATTAATTTTTAAATAAACCCGCCGTGTAAACGGGTCTGGAAACGGTTATGGTTGGGGGCGATCGCTTTTTCAACAATTTTCCAGGACGATTTCGTGACAAATTTCATTATCACCCTCTGTGATTTAATGATTACGTCTTCATCGTACTCCAAATCCGGGATTTATTGAGGCTGGATTTAGCAAATCTGAATTTATGGGTCGATCGAGACGCTCAAGGTCGATTCTGCGTATTTATTAATGCGATTTACTGGATTCGGACCTGATAAATCCAGGATTTAGGAGTGCGATGGAGACGTGGTTAATGATTACGTCTCCATCGTACTCCAAATCCGGGATTTATTGAGGCTGGATTTAGCAAATCTGAATTTATGGGTCGATCGAGACGCTCAAGGTCGATTCTGCGTATTTGTTAATGCGATTTACTGGATTCGGATCCGATAAATCCAGGATTTAGGAGTGCGATGGAGACGTAGTTTATGATTACGTCTCCATCGTGCTCAATATCCGGGGTTTATCGGGTGTAAATGCAGTTAATCCGAGTTTAAGGGTCGATCGAGATGCTTAGGATCGAATCTACATATNATATAATTGAAGAATATAGTGTTATACAATACCCGGACAATGTAACAAAAATCTAACCTACAATATAATCGACGATTAAATTCTCTACTTATAAATTACCCGGTTATTATAACCTACGATTAAATTCTGTACGTATTTATCACTCGTATAAAATAACCAGAGTATAATCGACGATTAAATTCTCTACGTATATATTACCAGGGTAATATGACGAGAATCTAACCTAGAATATAACCGACGATTAAATTCTGTGCGTATTTATTACCCAGCTAAAATAACGAGAATATAATCGACGATTAAATTCTCTACGTATTTATTACTCGAATAAAATAACAAGAGTATAATCGACGATTAAATTATCTGTGTATATATTCCCCGGTTAAAATAACGAGAATATAATCGACGATTAAATTCTCTGTGTATATATTCCTCGGTTAAAATAACGAGAATATAATCGACGATTAAATTCTCTGTGTATACATTACCCGGCTAATATAACGAGAATCTAACCTAGAATATAACCGACGATTAAATTCTGTGCGTATTTATTACCTAGATAAAATAACGAGAATATAATCGAGGATTAGATTCTGTGCGTATATATTACCCGGATATATATAATGTATATATAGAATGACCCTTTCGTAACGCCTTAACAGTGCTCTCTTGATTTTCAATATCAAGGAGCCGAAACTGAGAATCTAGAAGAAGGGAAGCCGGTGTTCCTGCAGACATCTACAGGGACGCCGGAAATGTCGCACTTTTTTCGCGACAAATCTAGTCTTGGCGACAGACTAAGAGGGAAATCCGGAGACGAGCTTTTAAAAGAGCTGAAGCGACAATTCGACGTGGACGATGAGTCTTTCTTCGAGCCCAACTTCAAGGAACACTTCGATAGACCTTCCAACTTCAAGGAGCACTTCGAACGGTCCCCCAGCTTCAAGGAGCATTTCCAGCGACCTTCAAACTTCAAGGTAAGCGAGTTTCCAAAATGGCGGACGAGACGCGAGAGATTAATGAAATGGAGAGACGTTGTTATGATTTCCGTATGTGTAGAAGGGTCTAGAGGGTATTAACGACCTTCTCTGAGAGATTACGATTATTTTGGCATTAGAAATTTAAGGGGATAGGAAAATAACATCGAAGGGTTCGATCGTTCTTGAACGAGTTTTCAAAATAGCGGATGAGACGCGAGAAATTATTAAAATGGAGAGGCATTGTTATAATTAACGTACGTGTAGAAGGGTTTAGAGGATATTAACGATCTTTTTTAAGAGATTACGATTATTTTGGCATTAGAAAGTTAAGGGGATGGGAAATTAACATCGAAGAGGTCGATCGTTCTTGAACGAGTTTTCAAAATGGCGGACGAGACGCGAGAAATTATTGAAATGGAGAGGCATTGTTATAATTTACGTACGTGTAAAAGGATATAGAGGATATTAACGATCTTTTTTAAGAGATTACGATTATTTTGGTATTAGAAATTGAATGGGATGTGAAAGGGTCTCGTTTATAAAACTTTCTCCAAACTGTTAACACCGAATCATTTGAATCTTCACAACGTGAATATGCCCCGTATAAGAAAGGTCCTGAAATGTCCATGAAAGTTCAATTCTTTGTTTAAACTTCGTATAGACATTTAACGTAAATTTTTGGAAAAATGAACTCATAAATTCTCACAAATCCTTCGAGAATTTTAACATCGGTTATATCCTCGTTCTTGCGTCGTATTCGTCGTACCTCGAGTCTTTTTGCTTCTATGGTCTTGTAAAGCACGATTGAGCGCATCTTAATAGTGCTCGTGCACCTGGAGACTTGCTCTACTCTTGTTCTCGCTTTCCCCTCCCGGGCCAGTTCGCAAAATGTTAAATCTATTTACGTTCCGCCCTGCCCGGGCGTCCACGACCACGGACTATGGAATGCAGGAGAACGGACGCCAAGATGGCGGCCGGCGAGACGCGAGCCCTATACGCACGGAAGGATATCCTGAATAGTTTTAAGCTGATATGAAAGGGTTATTCTATACAGAATTGAGTAATTTCACGTTCTTCGACGTCTTTTGATGTTTTTCACGTATACCACGCAGACCGCGTAGTTTACAGGACGTTTATTACGTATTATTGACGAGAGCGCTCACTTCTCGCACTTTCACCTCACGTGGGTTTATTCACAGAAATACGTATTCGCTATATGGTATAATATACTTCGCGCTCACGTAGAAAATCATGTATATTACATAACGTATTATACCTACCCAACCCTGATTATATCTA